GTCAATGCCTAATCCATCGGTTTGACTGACGAAACCGCAATGACATTATCAAAAGAGCAATGACATTTCATCAACAACAAGTTTTTAAAAATAAAAGAAATATATTTGTTGCATTTTTTAATGTAAGTCTATGGACATTCTGTGTGTTTGGGTAGTTTTAAAATGAATTTTAAAGAAATTATCAAAAATAAATTATTTTATTTTTTTTAAAGTGTTTGTTGCTGTTTGAAATGCTTTCAAATTAAGCTTTTCTCTTTTCCATTCTGATTCAGTCTACACCGTTTTTTGTTTTTTTTTACTATTTTACTGGGTAATTTAACAATTTCTGTAAAGAGAGTCACACTTCTTCATCACAGCCCATGCAAAATTTAAATATGTTAAATTTTTACCATTTTATGACCACATTTTACTGACAATCACGCTGTTCACAGTCTCATTTCCAGTTCTATAAAGCTTTTAAAAGCGAGCAACGGCAGCCAAGGGGGGTCAATGACATAGAACGGCAACATTTCTTTCTTGTTTTCCAACACTCCCACCTTCCACTAACACACTCACCTTCCACATCTGATTTAGTCAGCAAGCTGTAACATCTCATAGCCTGAGGCCACTAAATCTACCAGCCAGCACCTTGCTGTCCTTACTAAATATTATGTTATAGAGCTGTCACGAACACGTCAAACTCTATTGCTGCTCTATCATCAGCTCTGACGGACAGGGGAAATGCTGTTTAAATGCGACCTTTCATGTGTAGTGGTATTTCAGTTGTGAACGACTCAGTGTTTCTAAATCTTGCAAACAAATCAAAAATGCTTAGCATGCTTAAAAAACTTCTAGAGTCTCTTATCTGTGACATACAATTTAAAAAATAAAAAGAGGATAAGATTATGTTCGGTTATGCATGTCTTTCAATAATAGCAAATGAATGATAACAGTAAAAACAAATGAAAATGTATTGACAAAAAGAACACCTATTGATGTAATAATCTAATCAACAGAAAGTGTCAGTAAACGACTCACTGGGATGCATTAAATCCCCACCATTAGTGTGTATTCTGGCTTTCCCTAAACACTGCAGTCACAATCACATCCATTAGTATAGCAAACAAACCCAAACATATGTGCTTTTGTTATTGTGAATGAACATATGTAGTGGCCGAACGACTGGCATGACCGAGCTCTTGAAATGTGAAACAAAGGAATTGTATTTCTGCATTGCCCACATTGAGCACTCAGAGTTTATGAAGCCATTACATGAGGAGTGATTGATGTGACAGGGAAGATGCTGTTAAATCAAAGCTGCGTCGGAGCAAAGAGAAGGTACAGATGGATGGGTAAAGACAGAGAGATAGAACATGATACTACCGCACCTGTACTACGCAGTTTAAAATGCAGCTGCACAAAACCGGAAGTGATAAAAAAAGAAAGCATGTAAGTTTCTGGTCAAGTTTGATCCATCTAAACAGCTTCCTCAAGGAAAAACATTCATCCTTCCTTCAATACAGCATCAGTGATGACAGATCAATTGTTTGATTAATATTGAACCTGAGGCATTGTACATTGACACCGATACAGGCTTTTTAAAGGCCGGTCCCGATATCTGGAGCGCAGGGTGTGGATACATTTTTTTTAATTAAATAATGAACACTTATTTTACTAAATATGAACTCATAATTCACTAAGAGAGCAGGGTGGGCATTGATAAATAATAAAAAGTAATGAAATAAAATAAAAGTAAAATAAAATACTGACATAAAACAAATGAAATGAAATCAATTAAAAAAGCAAATAAAAATACGTATTTTATACAATATTTACTCTAAATTCTCAAAACGAAAACACAAAAAGCTCAATTAATCAATGTTTAACGATGATGTCTTTAATTTCAAAACTGACACAAGGAGAAACTACAAAAGGCCAAAAATCGTAATGTTTCGTGATAATTTACTCACCCCCACATCATCCAAGATGTTCATGTCTTTCTTTATTCAGTAGAAAAGAAATTAAGGTTTTTGAGGAAAACATTCCAGGATTTTTCTCCATATAGTGGAACGAATTGCAGTTTCAATGCAGCTTCAAAGGGCTCTACACGATCCCAACCGAAAAAAATCAACCGTCATAAAAAAAAAAACATTTATATACTTTTTAACCACCAATGCTTGTCTAGCACTAGCTCTGAAAGGTCACGCGTGTCCCGGTTCAGAAAGGCAGGGTAGGGCGAAAAACTCCATCTCATTTTCTCCTCCAACTTCAAAATAGTCCGACATCGTTCCTTTTATTTTATTTATTTATTTTGTAAATGGTGTTTGACTTTTTTCTTTGCGCGTTCGCTTTGTAAACACTAGGTGTGTACTTCCGCCTACGTCACGAGTGACCTTTCGTCGTGATTACGTAAAGTGTGGAGCATCGCAGAGCTAGTGCAAGACGAGCATTTGTGGTTAAAAGTATTAATTTATTTTTTATTTTTTTAGAAAAAACAACAATTCTCTAGATAAGACTCTTATTCCTCGGCTGGGATCGTGTAGAGCCTTTAAAGCTGCATTGAAACTGCAATTTGGACCTTCAAACCATTGGACCCCATTGAAGTCCATATGGAGAAAAATCCTTGAATGTTTTCCTCAAAAACCAAATGCTCGTCTTGCACTAGCTCTGCGATGCGCCACACATTACGTAATCACGACGAAAGGTCACTCGTGACGTAGGCGGAAGTACAGACCTAGTGTTTACAAAGCGAACGTGCAAAGAAAAAAGTCAAACGCCATTTACAAAATAAATTAATAAAATAAAAGGAACGATGTCGGACTATTTTGAAGTTGGAGGAGAAAATGAGATGGAGTTTTTCGCCCTACCCTGCCTTTCTGAACCGGGACACGCGTGACCTTTCAGAGCTAGTGCTAGACAAGCATTGGTGGTTAAAAAGTATATAAATGTTTTAGTTTTTTTTAATGACGGTTGATTTTTTTCGGTTGAGATCGTGTAACTGCAATTCGGTCCACTATATGGAGAAAAAATCCTGGAATGTTTTCCTCAAAAACCTTAATTTCTTTTCGACTGAAGAAAGAAAGACATGAACATCTTGGATGATGTGGGGGTGAGTAAATTATCAGAAAATTTTAATTCTGACGTGAACTAATCCTTTAAATCATCTGACAGTCAATAAACGGCCCTCTCTCTCTCTCTCTCTCTCTCTCTCTCTCTCTCTCTCTCTCTCTCTCTGCTTATATATTCTGAGACGTGTATGCTTACATGCATAGATAACTGTACTGTTTATATTTTGACTGAGCGACCGGCTGACCCATGCTGCATTCACTATTTCATATTGTGGCTTTTATCAAAGCAATGATATTATTTTATAAAGAAAGAAAAGAAAGCATTTAATTTGTGCTAATGGTCATTTCAACCCATTCTGATTAGAAGAACCACAGGGAGACCCTTACGCTTTATGTGAACGAATCCCAATTTCAGCAAGACACGATTACAGCAGGCAAAGACCATTCAATTTCATGAGCCATCAAGCAGATATCCTCTTTTAAAAATATACGGCACTCCAGAGAGCGAGAGATATAGATGGAAGAATAGTGGGTTTGGTTATGTTACTGATATAAGCAAAATCGTCAAACACTACAACATAAAACAGCAAACACCAAATGCAACCTCACGATGAGCAAGACGTTCTTTATATAACGGCGCATTATGAGTATGTTGAGTTATGAGTCCAGATACTGCGTCATTATTACCCAAGTCCCATCCATTACTGTAAAACATCAAAAAAAGAGACAATGTTCTTCTTCAAACATTACAGCAGTACAAGAGCATGATTAATTACAAGAAGGGGAAACGGGTTCACTCCACTGAACAGACTCCACACAAGCGTGTGTGTGTGTGCACGTGTGTGTGTCCAATGCGGCGATGCCTCCTCTGTCTCACCTCTGCTTTGAGTAGAGCGAGGTCTACTCTGAATCTAAACGAGTGCTTTATTACGTGAAGCTCTCAAGGACTGACCCGAAGCACTTAGCCGAAGCGACTCGGCCCAAGGCGCCTCCCTGTCATCTATCTCTCTGCATTTCTCTTTCTTCAACACACTGTTCACCTGGTCCACACCACCACAATCAATGAGATTACCTTTTAAATTGCCTTTTCCTGTTTCAGGCCTTCTGGGATATCTTTGAGCCCTGGGAATGCGCCTGTATGTGAAGGTACACGCAAGAATGAACAGAACACACAATGGTTGACTTTTACAACTGACCTCAGCGCAGCTCGTTTCGCCAGCAAACCAGCGCCCTTTTTAATGTAACATGCTAAATGAGAAAAACCAGAAGATGCACTTCCCCAGTATGTTAAAAAAAGATCAAGGTAATCAAGTTTATAGCATCCTTCGCCAGCAGACCGGACGAGTAAATCTGTGCCCGTTGTCAGCAGAAAAGCTTGATCAGCAAAAAGATGCACCGATCAGCATTCGCACGGCCAGTAATGAGCTCTGCTGGACGACAACCCTAAGTAGTCTGCAAAACAGCTAGTACTCCAGAACTTAAATAATTCATTGGTGCTGCTGGAGAATATTGTAGCATTTCAATACAGACAAACCCATTAGGGCAATGCAAAATAACTTGACATAACATTTAAAAGTGCACAAGCCGCTGCAACTGGATTTTATCACGCATCATGCATATCTAGAGCCGGCAGTGACGTGTCATCTCTGAGTTATTGAGAGATGCATATTGTGTGTGCAAATTACGAGACTCAAGTTCTATTCTACGCACATCGGCCACTATTATGTAATGTGATACTGCAGCACTAGGACTCTACGCACTCGCGCTCTCCTGTGTGCTGAGAAAGTTACAAAGATCTTCCTGTCACTCCTCTCTGCCGTACGCCTTCATTCGCTGATATTTAATAGCCGAAAGACTATATTTAGACTCCCATCCTTGTAAGAAAGCATTTAAATGTTAAACTGCATTGTACACAAGGCATGCTTTATCATAAAAGGAGGATACTGTACTTACCTCTGTAGCGTGTGTCTCCTCACTGCACCAAGAGGAGGGTGGTGATGGTGATGCAGAGGGGGGATGAAGAAAGAAACTTCGCAGAGCGCGCAGGGCACTTGGAGAGCTTAGAAAAAACAAAAAGTGACAACAATCAAGACTTTTGGTTTATCCTCTTCTGGTTTTGTTGGAAATAACAGACCTATGCAAACACACACACACACACACACACAAACACACACACCCCTGATCTCTTCCTCTACACACCCCCACGCTCATGCACACATACACACACACACAATAGCTCGGATCAGGACAGATGCAGAGGTGCTCTCATGTACACACACACATTTCCAGTCTCACACCCAGCAGTCTTTGCTCAGCACCACAGCCCCTGGTGTTTCACTGCTGTATTTCCCGGCACTGAGCTGTCATTGGTTCAATCACGGCTCAATAAAAAGTCCTCCTATTTCCAATTGGGTGAGGAGGGATTTTTCTTCATAGCACACTCTGAAACCCATCCCACCCCTCCTGCTTTTAAAAAACCTACACTACGTGCAAGGAGAATGCTGAGCTGTGAAAATCAGGCAGGATCAGGATGAGAGAGTGAGAGGAGGAACAGCAGGGAGGAGAACGCGAGGGAGCGGGGCGAGAACAGGCGCAGTAACCAATCAACGAGCGGAAGAGAGAAGCGCGAAAGACGTTGTTGACTTCAGGGATGATCGCGTTGTCGGCTAAAGAAACGACATATTACCCAAGTTATATTGAATATGAATAAATAAAGAGACAATGTACGCCGAAATATCTTGTCGAGCTGTTGGCTACAAGATGACCAGTGTGGACCGATTCAAAAACAAATGACTAATATGAGTAGGCTAGGTTCTTTTTTTTTGTGTGTGAATCGAAAACACAACCAGAGTGTAAATTAACCTTAATACCAAAACGAACGACTCTTATGAGCTGATTCTTTTCATTAAAGAGTAGTTCAAAAATCAAAGTCCAACGTCTGGCTCACTTGCTAAACAGCGAGATATAAATAATCATGGTGTCCGTATTACTGACTTACCGTCCACAACACAAAGATAAACATTTATTGTTTTGTAATAAATATTGCTATATAGTCTAGTGAACCGAAATATCGTATTATAAACGTAGCCTACAAAATATAACTTAGGTTTTGCGTCATTTGTAGGGTTGCCACCTATGTCTGATAAAAAACCGGGACATATTACCCGCCCAACTGGGGGGGGGGGGGGGGGGGGGGGGGGGGGGGGGGTGTTTGAAGACCAAAAATGAACGGTTGAACACCAAAATTTAAATTTTAACTGTAGGCCCGCCTATACACCAAATGCTGCGCAAAAATATATCCTATATTCGCGTATTTTCAGATTTTTGTTCATGATTTTTTTTTTGCCCCTTTAATAAGCATTTAAAATATTCACAAATTATATGGATAAAATGGTTTTCTAAGGCCAAACACTATATTTCTAAGGCTATAGATGATTTATAGGCTATTATAAATGTTTCTGAAAAAGTAACGAGGCATTTTAATTGTTTATTAATAAACTATTTTCTAAATCGGCTGCAACATATCTCCATCTCCGCTGTAAAGCAGATGCGCCTTTAGAGAAGAAATTCATATGGATTACATAATCAGACTGTATTTTCTTTTGATTCGAATTTGTTCGTTTAAAAGTGGACATTTCAAGCTTTAGCCTATGGGCTTGTTTATTTTGAGACGCGATCCAGTTCACGGAGACCATAAAAGAGCGCGACTGATTGTTTTATTTTATTTTACAAAAGCACAACGTTTTCTTGTTATTGTGAGTTTACACAAATAAAAGTAGTTGCGAATGATGTATTGTTGCGAATGATGTTTATTTTCTATGACCAGAAATGATAGAGTAGTAGGCCTATTTTAAGTTGTTTCCACTGTTGATAGAAAAACGGAAGTGCTCGCGCCCGCGCCTCGTGCAGCAAGCGCGCTCCACACTCAGATTACATGCGCTTCTTATGCGCTTCTTGAGGCAGACTCGACTCACACTAGCACACACACGCAAGGTCTCTCGCTCTCTGCCGTTGCGCGCGCTACACAGTTTGAACATACATATTCACGTAGCCTTTCGAAAACCGGGACATTCAGTGTCCCGGGAGAGTGCGTAAATTTCCCGGGACAGGTTATTAAAAAGAAGGACAATCCCGGTAAAACCGGGACAGGTGGCAACCCACTCATTTGCCGTCGTCAGATCGTCCAGCCGCCAAATAACGCATTCTTTTAAAAGACTAACGTTCGCGCTTGTAACGTTACGTATCGTACAGTAGTAAACCCCCTTTCTTTTACTGTCTATGGGTAAACCCTGACTTTGTGACCTTCACCACACAACAAAGAAACTTCAACCCTTTCGGCAGCATGTTCGACAACGCTGCTATTCCTAGTGCTAGTTCGTTTTAGCGATTAATTTTAAAGGAAGCCTACCGGCTAAGCGCTTCAGATCTCACCCGCAAGCTTTTGCAAGTCGGCATTTTACGAATTATTCGCGAAGATTCGAAGAAACCTTTATGAATATTTTGCTTCGAATCAGTGCTTCGCAGCGCGCATCAAACTGTCGTGAAATTTCAGCAAACGAGGCTTCGTCGTTGCATCATAGCCTACAGTTAAATTACAGACACGTTAATTGGTTTGACCATGAGCCAGTCAGGTTTATTAGCCTATTTAAATGGATAAAGAACTTTGAACTTTCTATAAATTATTGCTGGTTGGCCAACAACAACAGAAAAAAAATCAGTGCAAAAATTAATAATATAGCCTACTATTAAAGATAATTAAAATCATCTTGCAAAACGTATGATTAGGCTATATTTTGTAAAACGTCACTGAACATATTTATGCTCTCATTGCATTTACACAACTTTAACCAGCAGATGTCATAGCGTAGCGAAGTTTCTGAAATATTGCTTCTTATGTCACAATTTTTTTCACAATAGCCTAATTATTTTTTTACATTGTTTTTTGGTTTTTAAATGGCATCTTATTAATTAGTTGTGTACAGTCATTTGTATAGCCTATCATTTTCAAGCCACATAACAGCCGATCCTGAGTTCCTCATGAGCAAAGATGGCAGCCTCCATTTTGCTTACTTCCGGGGAGATACCATTCAAATGAATCACATCAGATGAATCACATATTTTAAAGCTCCTTGGCTGAAGTAAATATATATATTTTTTGGCCCTGCTCTGACTCTAGCCAGCCAGCTGCGCTCCAGCAGCATGTAACTTAATGTGGTCTATGTAAATTATTAAAGACTGATGATGGGAGGCGCTGTAGAACTCGCTCTCCAACAGAGCAATCCGTCCACACACTCCAGAACCTCATAATAATAGCAGTAGTTTCTCAGCTACCATATCTTACACTGTCAGACCGACAGACACGGTCACTGTCTAATGAACTGTGCTGTGTTTCCTCCCATGGATTCGAACTCATGTAGTTTCTCCATGCAAGTTGCCTGTTAGCCGTGCTGTATATGATATTTAAACAGATCTGCCAAGTGATGTCAGCTCCCCACCCCCCTTTAGTCTATCTCCATTTGCAGCCTAGTGCCTCAATACTAATTAAATGGGTTTGATGGAGTCCAATCCGTCAACATCTAAAATCAATGAAATAAAGTCTGGGCAGCGGGGCTTGGGATTCTTTCTACATGATTGAAAATCCCAGTCTGTTTCCTGAAACACAGCACATAACTTTTTGCCATTTCAGAGATTTAATTTCATGTGCTTTGAATGTCTTAGTGCAATGTTAATGTCTAATCAGCTTGATGAAACCAAAAGAAACCAAACCAATGCTCTAGAGTAAGTTCGTTCCATTTACTGCATCATATTTAATCCTTTACGTGTTTGTGTTTTTGTTATTAAACACATGGTGTTCTAGAAAATTGGCAAAATAATAACCTACATAGAGTCCTGCATGCAGAGTGTCACATGGGTTTTTTATGAATGTCAAACGGGTGTAGCGGACTGGCTCTATGATTAGATTTATTATTATTGAGGCGGCAGTAGAGTCTTCCGGCCCGTGGCAGATGTCCAATCCTGTTTCTGTGCCTGCAGAGCTGTCCTTTGGCAAAGTGGGATGCAGCTTTTGGCCAGCACTATATATTCAACTGGAGAAAACTCAGGCTGCATGACAGAGCAAGAATTCCTCGGAAGCATTAAGAAAATTTACAGTGGCCCCTTAAACGTACAGATATAGATGAATGATGCAAGCACAGTTTTGTGTACTTAATTAATTATGTTTTGACAAGTGAAGCGTACTGTAAAAATCCCTTACCTGAAACCAACACTGTTTTTCATTTCATTTCAAGCGTTCTAAAACGATGTACTATAAAACCAAAAAGTTTTTCCTTTGCGTTTTTCGGTGCACTGACATTAGATGGCGATATTACTTTGAAAGAAAAAACTACGCGCCTGAACACGTAATATGCATGCGTTTTCACAAATTCGCATTTTTGTAGTTTAAGCGGAGATGATAATGGTATCGTTTTCAAAAACTCACACTTTAAAACCCGTTTTCGAAAGTTTGCGTTTTCAGGCCACCAAAACACCGTTGTCGTGTGAATGAACGGCCAAAATGCATAACGTAGTTTTTCGGTTTTTTTTAGTTGAAAACAGTGTCGTGTAAACGGCCCCTTAGTATGCTGTGTTTTTCTAAGGGACCTGAAGTACTTTTAGTATTCGTAAAAGGGTACGTTTAGTCAACAACGATGTACTAAAAACAGAAAACTTTTTCCTTTCCGTTTTCACATACAGACGACAACATTGTCAAAACCATCCTCGTTCACACAGATCTGCGAAAACGACTAAAAACTCTGTATTTTGCTGCCAGACCAGTAGATGGCGATGTCAATTTGAAAGAAAAAACTACATGCCTATAGACTGAACACATAATACACATGACCTCACCGTTTTCACAAATTCGCATTTTTGTAGTTTAAGCGGAGACGATAACGGTATCGTTTTCAAAAACTCACACTTTAAAACCCGTTTTCAAAAGTTTGCGTTTTCAGGCCACCAAAACACAGTTGTCGTGTGAATGAACGGCCAAAATGCATAACGTAGTTTTTCGGGTTTTTTTAGTTGAAAACAGTGTCGTGTAAACGGCCCCTTAGTATGCTGTGTTTTTCTAAGAGACCTGAAGTACTTTTAGTATTCGGAAAAGGGTACGTTTAGTCAACAACGATGTACTAAAAACAGAAAAGTTTTTCCTTTCCGTTTTCACATACAGACGACAACATTGTCAAAACCATCCTCGTTCACACAGATCTGCGAAAACGACTAAAAACTCTGTATTTTGCTGCCAGACCAGTAGATGGCGATGTCAATTTGAAAGAAAAAACTACATGCCTATAGACTGAACACATAATACACATGACCTCACCGTTTTCACAAATTCACATTTTTGTAGTTTACGTGGAGACGATAAGGGTATCGTTTTCAAAAATGTGCACTTTAAAACCCGTTTTCAAAATTTAGCGTTTCCAGGCCTCCAAAACACAGTAGTCGTGTGAATGAACAGCCAAAAAGCATAAAAGTTTTCAGTTTTTAGTCAAAAACACGGTCCTGTGTAAATAGCCTCTTGGTATGCTGTGTTTTTCTAATGTAGCTACTTTTAGTATGCGCATATGATGGACACTTTACAATCCCATGAGGCCACGGGAGAGGATTTATGAAGGGAAGTGAAGTGATGTAACTGATGCTATAGGTCACGTGACAGTAACAACATGGCGGATGTAGTACATCCGAATTTCATTCATACTACCCATATTCATACTATATAGAGTGTGCATACTTTTTTTTCAGGCTACCTACTCAGAGGCTACTTGATTTCGGACTCATCTTCAGGCATTCTTACATTCTGAAACACCTTTAATGAGGCTGTTTATGCAGAGAACATTTCAGGGATGCATGTCAATCTGTTGTGAGCAAGCCTCAATGAAACTTTATCAAGTTTCGTGCTCTCAAATTCAGTTGAGCGCTGTCTGCGCTGTCTATATCATCAAATCTTATTGCAGTAGACAGAACATCCATTGAGCATCATTTGTTTGTCCAGCTGCGATGTCACAATAGTGAAGCCGGCGGAATGACAAGCACCATAAAGCTGATACAATACAGCCGGCTCCATCATTCATCTCTGTGAGGAATGCTGCATATGTTATCAGATTACACTGTCACTACATCACAGATGGAGTGCTTTGGAAACTAGCTGTGCATCCAGGTTTTTGCTTTTGCAAGGCTTTGCAAGTTAAAGACAGGAGAATTTAAGATGACTTTATTCATGAATAATTCAATAAAAATGTTGTTTTTAACATCACGTTGACGTACAGCACTTATCAACCCAGACAACCGAATATCTTTCTGAAACACTCGATAATAACACATTTTAGATGAAAAATAGCAATGGAATTTCAATAATAATTTGGAATCAGTTTTATATGGATCAAATAAGAATCCTTTGAGAATTTGATCTGGTCTTAAACTTGATGGTTGGTTTCCTCATTTGTAAATCACTTTGGATAAAAGTGTCTGTCAAACGAATAAATGTCAACGTGGATGACCTGAAAATCCCATCTTTTTTTGTCTTCAGATTTTTTATTGTGGTTTTTTAAATTATGCAACAATAACAAAAATAAGACAAAACAGAAATGAACAATAATAGACAACAATGAGGGTTACAAGACAAAACCACAAAGAATTTTAAATTAGCTTAAATGTTTTACACGGTGACAGAGTCTTACATGCAGTTGAGTTTTACATTTTCTCAAGGAGTTTAAATACATATCAAACGCACTCTTAAAAATAAAAAAATGATTTTTCTTTGACAATTTACATTTGTGATCTTGTTTTAATTTTATTTGATTCCTTTCAGATTGTGATTACATGATTAGATCATTCCAAATGATCTCCATGCAGCCATTCCTTGAGGATTTCAGGCAGTCTCTGGGCTCAAACAGGCATTTCTTCCTGTTTCTGCAGTCCGGTGTAGAAAATAACATCTCAAGAGCCTGTGCACCGTGACCCCCAACACTAACTCATATACAGGCAGCTGGGAAAATCCACAGATGAAGGCAGCTTCAGATTCAATCAAAGTTTGGAGTATATTTTAGACTCAAAAGAAAGTTCTCAGTTCAGTCCGCACTGAATAAGTCAAGTGGTTGTGTGGGTTTAGAGGTAAAGCAGTGTTGCTGAAGGTTTCTGGTGCTGTTTTGAATCTAGTATGCTCTTTATGTTATTCAAACAGGTATGTTAAAGGTTGTTTAAGAAAATTAATTAAAAATGTAGCTTTCAATAGGAATAACGAAGAAAAAAGAAATGTACAGTTCAAAATGTTGGGGTCATTGATACTTTTATTCAAGAAAATTGCATCACATTTTTCAAAGGTGACAGTAAAGACGACATGTTACAAAAGATTTTTATTGCAAATCAATGATGTTCTTTTGAACTTTCTATTAATCAAAGAATCCTGAAAAAAAATCTATCACAGTTTCAATAAATATATGAAACAGCACAACTGTTCTCAACATTGATAAGAAGCATATTAGAATGATTTCTGAAGGATCACGTGACACAGAAGACTGGAGTAAATAAATGATGCTTAAAATTCAGCTATGCATCAGAAATAAATAGAAAACAATTGTAATAATATTTCTCAATACTACTATTTTAACTGTATTTTTGATCAAATAAATGCAGCCTGAAGAGACTTCTTTCAGAACTGTTCAACAGCAGTGTGCCTAAACAGAGATGCTATTTATATGGTATTTCAAGGTTTAAAGGTTACAATGGCACTACCATGATACTGTCAGGTTGTTGCAGGTAGCTGAAAGGACACAGGAATAGCAGTATAGTTGATTTATTTACAAATTTAACTTTCTGGAACATACAGGAACAAAAGAACAAAACTCCAGGACTTCAGTGAAAACAACCATACAAGGACGACGATCCACAAACACTGAGGGCATAAATGAACGGGGACTAAGGACTAACGGGATAATTAACTGAACTCAGGTGATGGGGATTACTAATTAGACAGACCGGGAAAACTAACAGGACTGAACCAAAATCATAAAGACAGGGGGAAACAAGAACGCAAAACTGAACTAAACACATTGAAAACGTGACAGATACATGTCCAAAACCCATGTTTAAAAAAACATTTTTGAACATGGTTTGCAATCATGATTCAGTATGAAAATGTTATAACATATATATATATATATGTGCATGTGCAATTAGTGTTGTTCTGAACACGGTCAGCAGAGAGAGCCGCTGTAATGTCGACTGACTGCATGGCTCTGTCCCAAACCTATAGGCCATAGAAAAACGGTGATTATTTCTCTCACTTACCCAATATTTCGGTATGCTGTATATTTAAATACTTTGCCTTTGGTTTATAAACATGCTAATGCCAAACTCTATTGGGATCAGCTGTGCTGCTGCCTAAGTAGGGAAGACAGCACGGGTTTGGGCCGGAGCCAGTGTTTGACGATAGATCTGGGCTGGGTTTTGTTTCTTTGCTCTGAATATACTGAGTGAGTGAATGACTTCTGTTGAATCAGGGTTAAAAACAGTAAAGCTGCTGCCACCTACTGTTTAGAAATACACACACAATCTAAACACTGCAAACACATTCTATTGTAAATCATCATCTTTGTCTATGTCAAATGATTAAAAAATTTAAATATAAACATCTATATTTAAATATAACAATCTTATCTATAAAACTAGATCGACTTCACAAAAGAAGCACAATTATTTTTTTGAGCGATATTTTAACTGGAAATGTGCAATAACTACAGTTTAGTTACATTCTTCCTGAATGCATATATTCTATGTGAATATTTAAAAAACATTTTGGAAATTTCCAGCATTATAAATTCTCAAGCAAAGAAGTCTAATCTCAAGCAATGCTTTATTAACCTTAAATCCAGTCCTGCTGTGATTTCACCATGAAATAATTATGATATAAAGTCTACCTGAAATGCATGTAATTGAACTGTATTTAAAAATAAGTACAATAGTTTCATAGTGAATCAATGAGATCCAGTGAAAAGTAATCAGGGTCATCTCTACATAAAAAGCCTGATGTTTTTAGGACCAAACTGCTCAAAATGATCTACTGTATGCAATATTATTAAGCATAAACCTTAACAAAGTTGTTTTTATTTGTGTTGGCACAGTGTTTCATGATGCTGGCCAAACTGAATAAGCACTAAGCTTTAAGCTTCTCTGACCGGAACTCTGAGAAGTCGATAATGAACATCATGCATAGCACATATAGTCTGTTGAAAGTCTCTGCATTCTCACGGACACATGTATCTTAATATGTGTGTGTGTGTGTGTGTGACCTTCAGTAACCCGTCTGCTCTCAGTCGAGTTTCCGATGCTTGGGAAGGTGTCTTTACAAAGTTTGCGTCAGAGTAAGAAATAATTTCCATACAACTGAATGTCTTCCAAGACTGTGTTCAGGGTCACTCCGCCTGTTGAATCTTTGTATTGAATCTGTAACGTTCCTGTAACTGTTACATTCGGTGCACTGACATGATGACAAATGAAAATGAAATGAAAGACACCATGTGTGTGGATGAAAGGCTATGGTTTAATTGAACAAACACTCCTGTAAGTCCGGATGGGACTTGATCCGAGTTACATCTCTGGACACAGTCAGGGACGAGTACGTGTGGCGATACACAGACAGGAATCATTACATGTCACACACAGGCAGTTGCTGATGTAAATGTCCATACAATAAATAAATGAGCTTTTTCATAATTGTGAGGCAAAGCATTAAATTATGAAAAAAAGGAAAATGTCTAATTTTTATATTTATTTTTTATTTCATATGTACATGATTTTTTTCTCATCAGCAAAAGACGTCATCACAATCCTACAAATGTGAAAGAAAAGGTCAAATTAGTAATTATATATTGCAAGAATTACACTTTTGGGGATTTTTTATTATTATTTCAGTTGAACTCTATATTAATGCGCTAATTAAAATGGTTAATGAACCGTTATTCGCACTCTTAACCATGGTAAAATGGAAAAAAAAAAAAATATATGAAAAATAATATTAATAATAATAACAACGAATGAATTAATGCATATAAAAGACCCGTTTTCTACAAAGTTTAATTTGTAGAACATGTTTTATTATTTATATAATAAATGATAAGAAAAATAAACAATTCTTCCACCAACAAAAGTATAGAAACGTGTTGCATTAATGTAGAACTCCACTGATATGCAGTTGCATAGACAGCTTTGAACATGGCTTATCAGAACTGATGTTAGAGCTGGAACATTCTGGCATGAGTTCTCACCTTTTGAGAGGGATCCCACATTTTTCTGTTCCTTATTTGGGACTGGAGCGCATGCAGAGAGGAAGAACAAGGAACAGGTGTCAGGACAGCCTGGAAATAGTTCTAACACTCCAAGCAACACAAACTCTGTTTTACAGTGTGTTTCTGGGACGAGATCTAGCAGTAGATGTCTAAGTGGTGCCGAGTCAGGAGGATGTAATTCAGTCTCTCCGACGGTACACGCATACAGTCATTACGAGTTTAATTTATGGGGAATTGCCACTCGGACCCCTCCGGCAGCAGGGGCCGCAATCTCCAAGTTTAGTGTCCCCCATGTAAGGTCACGGCTCGAGAGGAAGACAGATGTCTTGTCAAGACCCAAATAGATGGAGAACCAAATAGCTTTTTGGCTCTCCAAAGCAAAAAAAAAATTAATTAGTGTACATTCTCAAAGCGGTTTCTATTGTGGGAGATTGTTCAAAAACAAAAAAATATGAAATATTTAAAAATGATAATATTGTGAAATATGATTACAATTTCAAATAAATGTTTTCTATGTGAATATATATTTTCAATTGTAATTTTTTTCCTGTGAATTTTCCTCCAGTCTTCAGTGTCACATGATCCTTCAGAAATCATTCTGATAGGCTGATTTGCTGCTCGAGAACATTTCTGATTATTACCAATGTTGAAAATAACAGCAGTTATTTTGTAACATTATAAATGTCTTTACTGGCACTTTTGAAGAATTGAATTCATCCTTCCTGAATAAAAGTCATATTTAAAAAAAAAAAAACTATTTTAAGGTGTCATTGTTACAGTGTAATAATACATTTAAGTACTGAGTAATATTAATTAACTACATGTACTTACTATAGGGTTAGGAGTAGGATTGGTTTAGGGTTAGTTACATTTAATTATGTATAATTTATAGTAATTACTATAGAAACTAGTACATGTATCGTGTAAAATAAAGTGTTACCAAAAACCCTTACTGACTGCAAACTTTTGAACGTAGTGTTTTGTAGTGTAGTACTTATATATAGCAGTGAAGTAAAATTACTCTGGTACTTTACACCCCTGAACATATCTAAAAATAGAGACTGACCTGTATGAATGTGGGTGTTGAACTTATTTCTTATCGGCATCAGCAATCACAGGCTCTGTTGGGAAAGAAAAGCAGAACGCAGTTCAAGTCTGCTGGCTTTCAGAACAGTATTTGTCACCCAAACAAACACGAGTGTTAACCGTCAGTGACACTAGTTTTAGCTCAGACATGTGGAGACTCTTGTTCTCTTTGACATGTTCATTCTCTCTCCTTTCAAAAGGCTGTAAATCATTTTACAATAACAATAAACGTGTCCAACCTAGTGCAGAGGCATGTAGAGTTATAACTTGACAAACATAAAAAGAGTTCCCGCATCAGGTTGAGCATTTGTATTGACATAGCTTTCACTGATATTAGATGTCCATAAAGTGATGCTCCGTTTGATCCCAATCATTCAAGCCTGTTTCTAACACACTGACAGCAACATGAATTTTACATATTTATCTTGCACTACTTGCATTTCCATGATAAATATAAGCTTGATTTGAACTCTGGAATCCATGTTTTTCTTAATCATCACATTGTTTCATATCATTACATGAATAGGCAAGACATGATTTGAGTTCTTTCAGCAAAAGCTAAATTCTCTCGATTTCATTTATAAAATGCATCAGTAATAATCTGCATAATTGGTTAATCGAGATGTTAAAAATGTGGCCTTGACTAAATCTACTCTTACAAGGAGCGTGTAATGTACATTCTCCTTTTCTTGGAAAATCTGTGCAATATAATGCAATCCTTTTGAATATTTAAATCCTTGGATTCATCTCAGCTAATGGATAATAATTTAATTCAGTCTTTTTAGACCAATGAAAGGCCACAACTTGTCCAGTCATTCACGATTACTGTATAGAAAATGATTTCACAGACACTGCACGCATAAAGAATAAGTCAAGCCCATGAAATATTATGGAGCTGAGGATAATTAGACTTTTCATGCCTTTTGACTTTAAATCAGAGTCTTACAATTCCCTGATATTTAAACAATATCCATGACCATGAAAACCCTGGAGGTCTCAGTGTGGTCAGCAAAACCTCCTCTTTTTGGCAAATAATGAAAATAATGTTATCACAGGCAATTGAAGAGCAGTGCTGTCGATCAAGACTGAATCTAAATCACAAACTCGTGATTTTTGCATGATCAAAAATACTAAAGGCTTATCACAGACTCCTAAAAACACACTTGAGGTAAGTCTACGATAGTGACTTACGTTTAACCTCCAGTTTGCAGCTGACCAAGGCCTCTCCGTGCTGGTTCTTGGCCCTGCAGGTGTAGACGCCACCGTCATAGTTTCCAGGCTTGCGGATCTCTAGGGAGCAGATGCCCTGGTTGTTCATTTGCCTGTACTTGGGGTCGTCACCAATAATCATCTGATTCTTCATCCACTCGACCCTGGGCTGCAAAGAAGTTGGAAAACACAATGAAAACATGCCGCTTTTGGAGTCTAGAGTTAGTGAAATCTTTTAAATGCATGGATGAAGATCATGCAACGAGCCATTTCTCACATAGATTGCCAAAAACGAACTTTTAGACATGCCAGCTCTTAAAAAAACAAAAGTTATCTATTGCCTCTATTCTCTATTGATGGTTCCATGAAGAACCTTTAACATCTATACAGAAAGTCTAAGGCAAAATGGATCTTTTAACCTCTTAACCCGCCGGCGGGCCCATTTGCCATTGCATGTTTAAAACAATAATATCTTAGTAAAAACCTAAAGTAATATTGCCAAACTATATATCATTTGAAAGCTTAAAGTCTCTAGTTTTCATATTTTGTGGCTGTTATCTAAAATAAATTACAGAGGAGCAGTAATTTATCAATTTGCAACAAGAATATTTCATATTCATTAGGAGTATTTAGGCCTTTATTTTGAAATAACAATAAACATGAAAAATCACGAAAGATTGGTAGAAACCTCAGTTTGTTTTCATGTCATGAGTTCAAAAGATAACACCAATTCCATTTTATGAGAAAAAAAAGTCTGAAAATGTTTTAAATATAAAGAAAAATGTATGGATTCTCGATTTGTGATGCGGCTGCGAGCTATAACGCTATAACGTAGTCTTTATGCATTTATTAGAGGTTGAATTCAAATCAAATACTGACAAACCACCCATACTACTTCTGAATAGGATGTCTACTTCATAAATTGTATGAAAATTATGGAAATACATGGTTCAGATCACTTTGTTGGGTACTGCGCCCGAATAAAATCTTACTGAAAGCTCATTTTTTGAGATATTAACCTAAAATTTGGAATACAACTTGTTCAGATTTTTGTCTTTAATTTTCTTGCAGTTTTAGAGTAAAATATATTTTGTAATATATATATTTTTTATATAAAATATTAATAATTATATTTTTACATTACACAATTTCATAAACTCAAACTTATATAACTTTTTTTTCTGTTTCATTTTTTATAATTTCTAGACTTCTACAATAATCTGTTAAATGTCTTCTTTACATAGGTCTATATTCCAAAGCATTCCTGAATTTACAACCATTTAAGTTTGGATAGTGATTTTTATGTCTATGCAAAAAAAAAGGGGGGTGACAGTTAACAGGTTAAGAACTGTTCACAGAAAGTAAAATTAAAAATGGTTCTTCAATGACATCACTGACGTTGATAAAAGTGAACGAACAAGAGGATTGTCCAGAGCGGATTTCATGCTCAGACTTTGCGAGCACGGATTTTACAGGAAGTATGTTTTTTGTAATTTTCTTATACATTATAGATATGATGGCATCCACCATTTAATCGTGATATTTGTCGAAAACTAAGGTAATACAAACAGTAATCGATAACAAAACTATGGTTCCTAAAGAGCGGTGAACTCTTACAAAAGTGAGAGCTTATAAAAGCAACAGAAAACAAGCTGTTCTCCATAAAATATGATAAACGTTGGGGTTATAATGTTCAGGAACAGTGTTTAAAATAAATTCGTCAGCCTTAGGAAGGTCAAACAAATGAGTTTTGGAAATGTTGTGAAAAAAAACCCCGGCATCTCTTTTTTCTCTAATGCAGCTCGGCCAGGCCTCGTACCCTTTTGTGCGTATTCTGTGGGTGGAGTTTATTTAAATGAGTACCATTGTGACTTCATAAGAAACATGTTGTAGTCCAAACGAGCCATTCGTTGTAGTCCTTGAAAAGGGGATTGTGTTAAATATAATATCTCCCTTTGGAGTGGAGTAAAAGGACTAAAGTTGAAAAAGTGGAAAAGCATCACAGGACCCATTTAATGCAAAAATATTCCATATATGTATTGATAATAAAAACTAGGCATTCCAGATGGTCCATTTTCAATTGTGCTAAAAGCTACACAACAATACGACTTGTATTATGTTTATTTTCCTTCCTACTGCGAGTTACAAGCAACTGGGGGTTTTATTTACTCACCAAAGCCATTTTTACTTGCATTTGGCGCTTGGTGAGTGTTAACTTTGAGTGCTGATCAACGCTATGCACTCTTTCACTGTCATGGCCTCCACATATCGTTGTTTGGAAGCTCATCCCGTCATAGTGATGTAGGAATCCCACTTATCCAAACCATGCTGTCTCTCGTCTAGTTATCTATCCCACTAGGAGTTGCACTATCTCCGGTGGTATGTTAGTGGTGGATTCCTACACTTCAGTGGTCACTCAAACATGAACTGTAGAGCATATCTAAATGGATCAAGTGTTGATTATGGAACAGACTTCATGACAAAAAGCCCATCAGCACAATCTTTAGAATAATTGAACACATTAATGAATTGCATGAGGCTGCTCTGCTCATAATGATTAGATTGATATAGGAGTCAGAGGTTGTTTACACCTGGAGTGATTCGGGTGATCTGAACCCAAGAGGACAGCCCGAAAAATTTGGTCCAAATTGTTTGTGATCCAATCTCTCACATTCACCTGTCCGCCCACTCACCTGTCAATCAACCACTGCACTAAAACACGAGTTTTAAACTTTGCAAGTTGCATGCAGCTTAAAAAAAGAACCAACCAATTGGAAAGTTGGAAAAATGCATACATGCACAGAACAAAACATCTTCAGCTTGTGAAGCATGTGCATTAAAGTTCAATTTAGATTAAAAACACTACTTGAAATCTCAAGACTTATTTTACTTTAGCTAGTACAGAATCACTGCACCACTTTTCACGCGACATCAATATCAAACTTGTGGGTTAAAGGTAAAGTGTGTATTTCTGTGCAATTAGCCATCAATCGCTATAGCAGAAATAATGACGGTTCACAAACTATTACCCGAAAATTGGTCCTGCTTATGGATGCTTGAAAAACCATGTACCTTAGGGAATCCTCTAACGGAGCAAAGCAGCTTGGTGTTATAGCCGACAGTAGTGCTGCGGTCTGCCAGGGAGGTGGTGAACTTGGGTGGCTCGCTGAAGTCGTGTTCCTTGTACTCTAGAGGCTTGTACTCAATGCCTAAAACACATCATAAAGATCAGAGCATGGCGCCATTGCTGAGCTCATGGGTTCGATTCCCAGAGAATACAACAAGTGATAAAAATGTAGGTAAATTGTATGCAAAGAAACAAATGCATTGATGCCAAATGCATCAATGTCAAGACCAGGCTTATTGTCGTTTACTAAAACTACTAAAAATATTGGTTATTTAAATAAAGCTGAAATAAAATATAAATATTAGATGAAATACTTATAATTGAAATTTAAAATTAATTCAGTTTTAAATTAAATGGAAAACTGAAAAAAAGAAAAAATAATTAAAAACTATCATTGTATATACATTTTAGTACCAAAATAAGACTGCATGAGACTGGATGCCACGTCACTTTCATGACATGATGCACACCTAAACAGAAATATCATGCTGCAAATATGACACTCCACATGAACAGTGCTGCAGATGCCGTGACGGAAACCGATTTTACAAGATTGCTAGGTTGCAAGGAAGCAGGAAGTGCACGCATGCCTGTGACGTTTTGATGTACAAATAAAGATCTAGATATGCACAAGACCAGTCTTGTTTTGAGGATGTGGCATTAGTTTTGGTTATTTATTTATTTACTTTTTCACTCCGATGTGAATCAGGCAGTTAGGGATACTAACAAAAATAGGGTTGTTTGCCAGGGATGCATCAGGAACGATTCCGAGAGAAAAATAAAAGAAGTTGTGACCCAAATTGGCGTAGACCAGTATTACTTTATTTTTATTTTTATATTCTAAACTGTTTTAATTATTCTTATTTGTTTTGATTATTTTAATTTCTTCTATGTAAAGCACTTTGAATTACCATTGTGTATGAAATGTGCTATATAAATAAACTTGTTTTATTTTTGCATTATTCAAACTAAAAGGAAAATAAAAATCTAATGATACATGGATCTAAAGTACTTGAGCGATATTTTAAGACAGATATAAGATATAGGAAACATTAAGCCGAATCATGTGATGCTGAGCAACTGTCAAATATAAGAAATGCAGGAAAGTTGATTCACCTGTCTTCTGGATTGTGGCTGAGGTCTTTGTAACGGTGGCCTCTTCGCTGATTCCACACTTGTTCTCAGTAAAGGCCCTGAAGATGTAGGTGTTTCCCATGATCAGGTCTGAAATAGTGGCATTCATTCTGTGATAATGCTCCAGTACTGTGAACCAGTCCTGTGGAGACACAGCAGCTCAGGTCAGTAAACTTCAGACACGACTACTGACAGTGTGGAAGTCAATTCCTCGTGTGATTTCATTCGATTACTTGGATCTGAAAGGAACTGCATAAATAAACAATGCTTTCGAACACGGCCACCATCAACCACTGATCGAACAAACATAAAGTCCCGCCCCCAACTCACGCCATTGGTCAAGGACTAGACAGGGCGCTTAAAGTCCCCGTGAACCGGAAGTTGCAAACGACTTTTCTCCAGTGTTGTGACGTATTTCCGAGCGAAACGGAATACTAAATGAGGCAAAATAGTGGGCGTGGCTTTTTTTCCCCAACTAGCACCTGATTGGATCTAGAAAAGTAGGTGTTGTCATTCAGCCTGTCTACTGTCAGTTGGAGGGGCGTGGTTACGGATGTTAAGCAGAACCCAAACCGTCAAACCTACATCATCAGGGAAGGTCCTCCAAGGCAGAGGGGAGGGGACATTTCAGATTTTGATTAAAGATTACGAAGCCAAAATTTTTTTTTGTGTGGATTGACTTGCATGGATGAATTGTTCACCACAAAACGATCAATTTAGGCAAACAAAGTAAGTATGGTCAATTTTGAATTCATGGGGACTTTAAGAAAATATTTATTTGAAACAATGAAATATGAATGGCGTAGTCATAGTTGTCTCTTCTGCAGAGCTGAAGTTCGTAAATTATGAACTTTACACACTGAACTGACTTTATTTTTATTTTTATTTTTTTAGTTTATTTAGTTTGACAGGGACATTGTACATTAATAAAACATTTCTGTAAATGTACCAGAATTAGCCAAAGGCTATTTTTCATCCGTAGTCCCTGGACAAGATGTTACAAGTCACCCTAAAAAAAAAAAAGATTAAGAATACATAATAGAAATTTTAATAATTACACAATACCATTAAAAGCTATTTAAACAGTTTTGGATCAATTAAAACAATCAAGCAAAAATAGAAACAATAATAGGATGGCTAGCAGATATGAGATTCTAATGTTGACAAATCTGAGTACTGATTAACCAATTTTTTAATTGAACCCTAAACAAAGCATATGTGTCTAGATCTCTTATAGTTGTCGGAGTACTATTCCATTCTTGTGCAGCTTTGACAGAAAAGGCAGACTGACTAAATTTACTTCGTCTAAGAGGTATGATACAGTCTTGTCTTAATGCACCTCTTGTAAAGCGATAATCAGTTGTTCTAATACGAACTAACTGACCAAGAGGGGGAGAAGATAAACCATAAATAATTTTATACATCAGGCATATATTAGCATACTTAATCATGTTTTCCCAACTTAAGAGTTTGAGCTGAGCTGAACTTGAGCTGAATTGCCTTATTAGATCTGGATAAAGTTTGAATCATTGATTCTGTTGTTTTATCACAGTGAAGTTGCTTTGAAACAATCTGTATTGTATACAGCGCTGTATAAATAAAGCTGATTTGACTTAACTCTGCTTGTTGAGCTGGGATAGGAGAAAACATTTTAACACCAAAAAATATTTCAGCTCTAATATAGCATGGGATTTACATGGTTCTCCAAGGCACTTTCAAGAATACCACCATGGTAACTTGTGTAACAAGCATGGTAAATGTCAAAAAAGTATGCTATTGCAATGGCACCATGTCTGCCATCACAGTAATCATGGTATGTAGTAAATGTTGAAAAAGCTCATACCCCTGTCTTTTTGTCGGCCTTCTGGATGGTGTATCCGGTGATTGCTGTGTTTCCGGTATCCTTGGGTTCAGTCCACTCCAGAGCAACATTGAAACCCCAGGTGTCCACGATCTTGATGCTGGCTGGAGGTCCAGGCAACTCTGGTGAACAGGTCGACAAGACAATTGTTGAAAAAACTCCTGCAACTAAGATACACCACAGTCCATGATGTGTAAGATCTTTTATAACACCTACCAACAATCTGCAGAGTTATCTCGGCTTTGTCCTCAAAGCTGTCCACTTTCACACACATCTCATACACGCCGGAGTCGACTCTCTCTGCGGCACGGATGAAGAAGATGCTGTCCTTGTCGCTGTTGCGAATATTAACCTTTTTAGTATCAATAGGCTGGCCATCCTTTAACCATGACACAGAAGGTTGTGGTTTGCCCTGCAGGTTAGAAAATAAGACAAGTATAGCAGAGAATTAGCAACTCTAGTGCTAATATATGCCTAATACATTTTTAGCAGATCCATTAATTCAAAACTGACTCAGAATTGACTGATTAGTCTTCTTCCTCTCTGAAAATCAAATAAAGAATATTGTATGCTTGTGAATAATATAATATCAATGAAATAATAAGCTATAAAGTGCACTTAAAGAGAGTTCACTTTCATGACTGTTTCTTAACACACTTTTAAAATGTGCACTTTGTAATATCGTACAAAAATGTTTGTAACAATCTATGTATAATGCATTATAAAGGTATTCATAATGTATGTTATAATGCATTGTATCTTTCCATAAATAATTGTAACCAATGCATTATGCTCCTTGTTACATCTGAAATCGGTTGTTTGTCATGCTTTAATGCATTATACTATATTTTTTATGCTATAACTGTGGTTATAATTATTTATAATGAGACCATACAATACATTATAAGGTGCATTACAAGGCATTGTTAATGCATTCAAATTACTTTTATAATGCATTATATGGTAACACTTTACAATAAGGTTCCATTAGTTAATTTTAGCATGAACTAATGATGAACTGCACTTCTACGGCATTAATTAATCTTTGTTCATGTTCATTTCAACACTTACTAATATATTATTAAAATCAAAAGTTGTATTTGTGAACATTAATTAATGCACTGTGAACTAACAGGAACAAACAACGAACAACTGTATTTGTATTAACTACTGTTAACAAAGATGAAAAAAATACAGTGACAAATATTAGTTAATACATATTAGTTAATACATTAGTTAATGTTTACAAATGAAACCTTAAACCTTATTGTAAAGTGTTACCCATTATATATATACTATATATATATAGGCTTTAAGTAAATTATACTTTACAGTAAATTTTAAATCATTATGTTTAAGTAATCTATTGTCATGCACTTATTATTTAAGTTCGACAAATAAACAAGCTTTAGCTAATGTTAGATTTAGCTACCTTCGCCGTGCATTTTCAGTGAACTTAACATTTTTGTTTCATGAGAATACGTACACTGAAGGGAATAACAAGGTTGATCTTCTCTCCGAGATTTTTCACGTAGCGCTGCCTCAGGGAACGTGGCAGATGGATTTTGGGGCGATCTGAAGGGAGAGAAAAAAGAGGTACATAACATTATTACATTGTATATACAGTATGCTTTCAAACACTATGAGCAAAGTTACATTAATAAGATCTAATGTGCCTTATTGCAAAAAGACAGAACAACTTTTTATAAAGAAATACATGCTCTTATTTTATTGGTTTATAGAAAAAGAACCTACTCATTTTATTTTTAATCTCAGTCAACAAAACAGAGGAGAAATCCTTGGTTTTAGGTAAGAAAAACGTGCTTATTTCACAATTTCACTATAGTTAGTGAAGCAGAAAACTGACTAAGCTAACCTTACCGTGACCCGGGCTTTGAGAATGCAAGCTAACTGTAATGTCATCCTTAGCTGTTGTCAGCTAAGACTGTCTGCAGCAAAAACTACCAAAATCTTTTCCAAAACAGTAGCACAAATGTACTGTAAAACAGAAGGAAATCAGAGGCTAAAAACATTATGAAGAGTCAATTTCAATGACACACTTTGAGCTAGCCCACATGCTAACGGTGCTTCTGTTGAACTCATCACAGCTTTAAATAGATCAGTCCTATTACACCCCTGTCACCAATAACTTATGATGGAGATCTTTAGTTACATTAATACTGCTGAATTACAAATAACACTACCGGTATATCTCAGAATCGCAGTTTAACATTCATTTCTAACAATGCACCTTCAATGCTTAAAAAAAATGGGTTTTTTTGTGTGTGCATGCATGCATGTAATTAGGCAGCCTCTGCATTTTAGTCAGCATATAAAATGGTGAATTTGTCTCTGGAAAACTCTGCGAAGTGTTAGCCGAATGCTAACTCTTACAGGCTCCAGCATGCCTCTAAATAAACATAGCATCTCTAGCGAGCTAAAAAGTCTCTTGGGGTAACCTTAGATGCCACTTGACTCCTCATGCAGAGCGAGAACATTTGGGAATGTATCCCACCCTCCGACTTGAACCTTTCACACTTGTCGCCATCGCTCTTTAAGGAGTAGCTTGAGTAGTAGCTTGACACTGGTCCAGGCGGCTAGCTGTCAATGGCTTTGAAGCCATGTAAAACCCCCTCCACATAATCCTTGCTAATGCACAACACTTACCAACTAACCATTTTCTAATTTTTTTTTTTAAATTGGAAAAGTCATTTCATGACATGCTTCGCTGCATGAAGACCTTTAACGGGAGATCTGCTAGAATATCCCTCCCCCTCTTTTGCATAGACCGGATTCAAGTTACATTCCAATCCCGCTTGACTTTCCATTCTACATTTATGATTTCTTTCTTTAGACGCTGGACACTCTTGGAGTATGTAAAGCGACTGCAAGCATTCGGACACAAAAACTGGTTTAAACAACGGCTGCGATAATGCGGTCGAATGTGGAGTACTTCAACTTTAACTGCCTCTTGTTGCTTCACAATGTTTCATATCTCAGATGTTGAAAGCTACTTAAAGTAGAACTAACAACAGTGCAAAAGCAACAATATTACTGTGCCGTTTATGATATGCGACAGCAACAGATAATTCTACATTGTAGACTTCTGCCTGATCTGAGTAAGTGTGTAAGGCAACACCTCTTCATGCTAAACCCAGACCCTTGTCAGGTAGATTTATTTAGATTTATTTTTCACAACTGGCAACCACTCAGAGCCAATTAGGGGGCCCTGTAGAACAGCATGAGGAGTTTGCCTTACGCGGTACCAGTTTCACCTCTCTAGATAGCTCTGAGGTCTAGGATACTTGAGATATGAGAGGTGGCCCCCGATCTTTAGAGCGGCTACATGTGCTGGCAAAAGCAGGGTAACTCTACGCACCAACATTTACAGTAATTATGTCCAAAGAAAACTGGCTTAGATCTGAAAAGTGAGTGGGTACAATTTATGAAACTTCTCGGCTTGGCACATGAATATTAAAGCAACACCAAGTAACTTTTCCTCTGCGGTCGCCCTACAGGTTGGAAGTGGAATTGTCCATTACCGCTGTCGTAAATAATTTATCCTACCGCATCCTACTGTCGCACACACACGCTCTCTGTTTATCCAGCGCCGGCTTTGGAATGAACAATGTCCACAGACAAGGTAGAGTATGTTGCATGATTTCATGAAAGTATGATGTATTGCGACATCAGAAACGAAGAAAAACAAAATAATGACTATTGTAACGCTTGATGTAAAGCAAGTCAAATTTGTAGTTTTCTTATGTCTCATTAGAACTACAGAAACGCGACCCGATCTGGCGTGGTTATAGCAGATATAGGACCGCAAAGCGGAGGCATAAGTGCCTTTCATCCTGTTACGACTTAACGAACCACTGAAACCATTTTGGAAACATTATTTTAAGGTAAAAAATCTTACTTAGTGTTGCTTTAATTTAATCCATGAAAGTCATCTTAGTAATGCAATTCATGTTCTGTGAATGTCGCTATAGGTAGCCTAAATAATGTGAAGAAAAACAAAATGCTGAAAATGGTGAAATAATTACGTTTACGTGTTTATGATTACGATAATACATTAAAATAACAAATAACATTAAACATTTTTTGTACAGCTAAAATAAATGGAAGCGGATGAGACCGGAAACATTGACACAATCAAGTTACAATGGTGGCGCCTGCTCTTACATTAAGAACAAGGTGAATAAGCTTTTGGTTTTTGCTTTACATCAGCAGTTGCACTATTTTCATTGCATTGTGGTCACCCAAGATGAAATTGTTACAATGGTTGCTATGATACACTATCATTCAAAAGTTTAGGGTCCGTAAGAGTTTATTCTAAAGATCTTTTCATATTTTATTCAGCAAGGGTCCATTAAATTGATCAAAAGTAAAAATGTTCTATTCATCAAAGACTCCTGCATTTTTTTAAATTACGGTTTCAACAAAAATATGAAGCATCTGTTTTCAACACTGATAATCATCAGAAATGTTTCTTGAGCAGCAAATCATCATATTAGAGTGATTTCTGAAGGATCATGTGACACTGAAGACTGGAGTAATGATGCAGAAAATTCAGCTTTGCATCAACAGGAATACTTATATTTTAAAATATATTCAAAAGGAATATATATATATATATTTGATTTTTAATTAAAATAATATTTCTCAATATGACTGCATTTTTAATCAAATGTATGGTGTGCAGAAGAGCCTACAGTAGTGTATGTGTTTTCAGTAAAAGCTTGGCTTACCCACGACCTCTCTGACCAGGACGGTGTCGGGCAGAGCTGCGGGGGGGCTGCGGCCGCCGGCGTTCATGGCCACCACCCTGATGTTCAGCCGGTCACCAGTGGTCTGGTTCTTAATCACATAACGGCAGGACACGGTGAGCTCCTCGTTAGCGGCTTTCCAGTCAGCAGCTGCAATAGAGAGGAAAACGAAGAGCATCCAGTCGGTCAGCATCTGTATCAAGTGGTCATCTAAGATTTGCATCTCATTAATTATCATAAAAATTGATTGTTGATTAATTGCACATTGATTGTAAAGCTTTTGAAAGGGCCATATTTAAATAAATAATGAAACATTTTTCAATTAATAATTAGAAGTTTAGATCTAAGATTTGCATCCCATTTACAATCATAAAAATGTATTGTTGATTAACGGTACATTGCTTTTTAGAAAGGCCATATTTTAATAAAATTATTAAAAGCATTATTATTATTATTTTTAAGTACTATAATTAAAAAAAAAAATTAACTATTATTATTATTTAAAAAATAGGTTGCACTTTATTTTACAGTACGTGTTTAAGGTTAGGTTTAGGGTGTAGGTTCAGGGTTGGTACCTAGTTAATACCCAGTTATTGTAATTACTATAAGTACATAGTATGTACATGGGGAACAGGACTGTAAAATAAAGCGCTACCAAAAATGAATATACATTTTTTTTTATATATATTGAAATAAAAAATGAACAGATTTTGCAAATTATGTTCCTCACACTGTTCCTGAACAAATCAATATGTGAGTGGATATATCCTTTTTTCCCCCCAGAATTTATTTGCACTCATAATGCTGTGTGAGCAAGTTGAACTGTTTTTACATGTGCGACTGACATGACTGCAACAGTCATCCTGTTTTGCTGGCAGACTTCTGTGTAGCACTTCTAGAAATGCCTCACTCCATATAGGGACACAACTTCGGTGGGCGGGTGTACAAGCTGCCGTTGACACATTGGGGACAGGTGCAACTGAGAGTTTTGACCAGCCAATAAAATGCTAATGCACATTTGAACGTTGTGCCGTGTTTAATTTAAGGTACAGTATTGTGAGGTGGCATTTCAAAATGCAAGTGCTTGGCGGGCTACTGTAATCAAGTGAAAAGGCTTTTAGATTTTAAATGTAATCCTCATTGAGGGTTTTATTAAGCTTGTCTGAAACCGAAAGCGTTGATGCCTAAACAGGCAGCGTTTTTTATCTTAATATCTAGAACAACTTTCGGTTACACTTTAAGTTAAGGTGTCCGTGTTACACTGTAATTATGCATTTAAATGGGTGGTTGATTATGATTTCACTTTTCTAACTTTACTGTAGTTAGTGTGTAGTGTTGCTGTTTGAGCATAAACAACATCTGCAAAGGTACAACGGTCAAAGTTCAAAGCAAAGGGAGATATTTGCTTTTAAAGAAATCGTTTTTTAAGGACTACAACAAACGGCTGGTAGGGACTACACAAGCTTCCTCCTGGGCTAGTGACATCACTAACCCTAAATTTACATAAACCCCGCCTCCGGGAACACGCAGTCCATGTTGAGAAGAGGAAGAGCTGTTGTAGTCAAGCACATTTGTGAGTCAACACAAACTGTAGCATCCTCTTTTCACATGCAATAGAAAGTCACTTTGTGTGCATCTCACAACAGTTCCGATACAAGCGATTATCCTGACAGAATATGCTAATTAATTGAAGATAGTTAACTCCACATCAGCAACATAAATTCCTCAACTAACCATTCAGAGATGTCCTGTTGCATTCTACATGTTGTCACTTCTTCTTAGTCTCTCCATCTTTGTCTGACTCCGGATTAAACATAAAAGGCAGAACAGTTTCTGACATTTTAGCGTGTGTCTGCGTGAGGTAATCGGAGCTGCTAACACACACACACTCTTGAAGCTCCGCCCACTGTGTCGGGAGCTGCAGCTCATTTGCATTTAAAGGGCCAGACACAAAACGGTGCGTTTTTGCTCACCCTCAAAAAGTGACAACTTTAACATGCTATATAAAAATATCTATGGGGTATTTTGAGCTAAAACTTCACATACACACTCTGGGAACATCAGAGATTTATTTTATATCTTGTGAAAAGGACATTATACCACCCCTTTAAACACTGAGTAACTAGCCTAGATTGACTTTCTATAGGGTTAGGTTTCGGATTAGTTGCATGTAATTATGAATAATTTATAGTTATTACTACAGTAACTACATGTAACAAGGACACTGTAAAATAAAGTGTTACCAAACGTTCTAGTAGTAGGTTATGCAACATTGGATTTGGACGTGTCTTGATCCCTTCCTACCTCTAAAGAAGGCTGAATTTGTTTAGATTTGCCGACTTACTTCCTTCCTTGCAGATTTCCACAGTGTATCCATCCAGACCAGAGTTTCCAATGGTGGCTGGAGGTCTCCATGAGATCGTGACTGAAGTGTCATTGACATCCTCAACGCCGAGCTCGAGGGGCTCGCTGGTGGGCTCTGGAGAGCAAACACACATTCAATATTTGAAAGTAAAATCGGACTCTCCATTTAATGTCACAATTGGAAATGGCACAAAGCGTGGGTGAAACTGAGGTGATCTGAAGGTTTGGATTCCCGTGGGTTTACCTGCCGGTGGGGGAGGTGGAGGTGGTGTGGGTGCTTTGACTTCCTCAGCAGGCGGAGCTTCAGCATCAGCTGGTGTTAAATAGGCAGGGCACATTAATACAAGCAGCATTTAAATAGAGCTTCAGGCATTAGTTTAGTCTAACAATTATGGAATCATAGCCCAGTTCGAAGTCTTTATTAGACAAATGCGTTTTAAAGTCAACATGAAATCAATACTGGCATGCTGAAATCAAGATCAAGTTATTTTCACGTTGAATATCACAAAGTAAAATGGGTTGCGAAAACTATCTTTCATGTTGACTTTGACTTTTTCAGTACTGGGAAGCATCAGGTGTTTTGACTATAAATGCAGAGCGTCAAGTAAAAGTACAGTAGCTGTTTAGCATTGGTTCACCATGGCTATTACCATCAGCGAGGCCTCAGCAGCGTGTGCAGCGGCTCCTTTAGCGAAATCATTTTTAAATGTTAGTAAAATGTTAGAATGGCCCATTTTGGCTCATTTTGCATGCATAGAATATAGTTTACAAAACAGAAACAAGTAGTCGTAGAACGATACATCAAACAATTTCGGGTCGTTTTGAGATTACAGGCATCCATAGATAATGGACAGTGCACATTATCTGTATTAAAATACATTTTAGTATATTTAATCTTGAGTGAATATAGTTTAAAATGATAAGAAATTAAATAATTGAATGATAACAAACTGTACACAAATAAATAATGAATACGGAATATTCATATATGGAATATATGAATTATATTCATTAATTTTGTGTCCTTCTAGTATCATTATTTTAATACATAAGAATATTTCTAAAACCAACAATCACTGAAGCATTCCCCATAATCATTAACTTACCTTCTTACTGGAAAAGACTAATCAAAACATCATGGTTAAATAAATTATTATTAATATTAGCTCTCTGTGGAACTGTAAATAGAGATGTCTGTGTTTGTCACAAGCTCTAAATACCTCTGGCTTATAAGGCCTCAGCAGATATAGCTGGGGTTAAAATAATAATTGCACAGGTGATGAAAAGCATGCTTTGTTCTTGTTAGAGAGTAAAGTACACAGATTATCATGTAAATTATTGCAGATTATAGCGAAAGATCAAAAAGTAGTTTCATGCATGAGCTCTGAATTTTGCATTGGTGGCTAAATTCCTTTTCTTTGTCTGCATTTCACAAAAGCTTTCAAAGGAACGGTGTGTTATTCTGCACTTATGTGAGAAGTAAATATCAATATATTGCCTGTATATTCTCTGAAGTGCTTTGGAGTAGCGTGTAAATAAATATAGTAATCAATGAATACTATCTGATACCGTGGTACTGCTTTAGTACATTTCTCTACAGGAAAATAACAGAAGTAATATGATATTTTAGAAGAATATGGTTACCATGAAATTCATTTTAATTTGAAGTTGTATTGTCTTCTGTAAGTGTAAATAATAAAGTCGAGTAGATGAGCAGAACAGGGTGGGTCAGGGCGAACAGCTGGTATGATCAGCATTAGAGGTTAACAGGTGTAAACGCTCACTGGTGTTTTTTTTAACCCATCAGCTGTAGTCAGGCGTTTTCCCAGTAGCTTCCAGGAGTTCTTGGCTCCAGCAGTAATGTGCACCGAGTTCTCACGCATTAAAGGTTAATTGTTACATGGCATGCATCTGTGTTAATATTGCTTGTTTGTTTGCATTTATTATTGCAAATGATAGAGTGGATCTCACAAAAGTAGGGTCATATTTCACCAACAAAGATAGAAGATAAGAAATTATATTTTGCATAAAGAAATGACACCTATTTTTTACAACCATCAAGACTTTTTCTTTACATGCATAGTAACAATGCTCATGACAAGCACATGCGGAAATATTTAATTCCCACTGTAATGCTAAAAATATTTTTTATTATTTAAATGGTTCTACATGGCAGTATTATTTTTTTTTTATTTAATACTATGGTGATTTTAAATATGCAAATTATGATTTCTGACTGAAATATGACAAAAATGTTCCTCTTAAACTATGTACAGAACTATCTTAGAGAGATCCACCCATAGAATTGCACTTTGGCACTTTGATTTCAAGAACATGGAAGAGTTTGGGGTCCACATGCGCACTCAGTACCTGCAGGAGGAGGTGCTGGTTCTGCTGGTGGAGCTTCAGCAGGAGGAGCCTCCACCGGTGCACCTTCAGCTGGGACGGCTTCGGCCGGTGCACCTTCAGCTGGGACGGCCTCGGCCGGAGCACCTTCTGCTGGGACGGCCTCCACTGGAGCAGCTTCAGCGGGTGCGGGTTCGGCGGGTGCGGGCTCAGGTACGGGTTCTGGCGCTGGTTCGGGCGCGGGTTCCTCCTTCTTGGCGGCCTTAGCCGACTTCTTTATCGGGGCTGGTTTCGCCGGCATGTTTGTCCGCTTCAGGGATCCCTCTGACTTAGTAAGTCCTTCGGCTCAGTCTGAAGAGGGGTCACCCCAAATTTATAGCCTAGGCCATGTGGCGCTGGTCAACTCCTCCCCTCAAGAGTTTCAAGTGACTAGTGAGGGAGTGAACGGACCTCTCAACATCACGGCCACTTCAGCTGTATGTACAGAGTGCCACTGACTGCAGATAAGAAGTGTGCGGGTTGGGGGGAAGGGTGTCTTGAAAAGTAGGCCTACAAACTAAACTGATTTAATTACACAAATTACATAATGAAGACAACAACAGCAATTAAATGTTTAGTAACGACAAAAAAGAAACCTTGTTCGATGGTTCAAACAAGAAAGTTCAACACTCTTCAACAATAAAAACAAAAAATGAAGCACAAATGTGATGTTTATCTTAAGTCATTTTTGCTTATTAGTATGGATGAATTGGATCATCGAGGGTCAGCAGCAAAGACATTAGTTAATAAAGTGAGATTAAATGCATAAAGTATATTTGTGTTCAGATATTTAATTAGTACAGGTTGTATAATATTGAATGTTCTGAGTTTGTATTTCACTGTTTTAATTGATTTTGAGGAATTACAACACAACGCCTCTGCACTTAACTCCTGATTTCTCTCAACATGCGGACAGGAGAGCTGTCAGTCAATAAATGGGAAATCAAAGTAAATGCACTACTTTACTAGTTACTTGGGAAAAGTAATCTGATTACATAACACATTACTTGTAATGCGTAACCCCCAAAAATAACAATGTGTTTCTGTCCATCTAGTTTAGTTTATATGTGACCCTGGATCACAAAACCAGTCACAAGTAGCATGGGTATATTTGTGGCAATAGCCAACAATACATTGTTAGGGTCAAAATTATCGATTTTTCTTTTATACCAAAAATCATTAGGATATTAAGTTAAGGCCATGTTCCATGAAGATATTTTGTAAATTTTCTACCATAAATATATAAAACATTTATTTTTGTGAGTGAATGCAGCTCAATCACGAACTTTAAAGAAAATTTTCTCAATGTTTCGATTTTTTGCACCCTCAGATTCCAGATTTTCAAATAGTTGTATCTCGGCCACATATTGTCCTATCCTAACAAACCATACATCAATGAAAAGCATATTTATTCAACTTTCAGGTGATGTATAGATCTCATTTAAAAAAATGTACCCATGTGACTGGTTTTGTGGTTCAGGGTCACATATGTCTCATCTCATCTTCATAAAGCTTTGGCATTTGTGTCCCCACGACTTTCTACAGGATACTAAAGTTATTTGATAGATTTAACTCCGAGTATTTAGAAATGCATTACACGCTAAACATGCTCTTTGTACTTTAACCCCAGCACGTGAAAACATAAGAACACACTTAACGAACGTTGTGGTTTTTATTTTGACAGATGGACAATGTCTTGGTGGTCATATTACGAACATCCGAAGCATGCCAGTTCTTGCGTACTGGGCCACTCCATCGCTAACAAAAGCACAAGTCTTATTCCTTTCAAACCACATTTGTTAATGACATTTTTTTTTTCTTAAATGATTGTTGTTGCAAATGCAGGGCCACGCTATGTACAATGTTTACATTTATAATGTTCTGTACAAAATGGAACTTAAGTTGTACAAACAATCATTTGGGGGAAACTTACAAAGAAAGAACGTAATATCATTCCTTTTATACGACCCCAAATTAGGTAGAACAAATCCGTAATTCTGCTTCACACATGCGTTACGACATTTAGAAACCCATTGCACATTGCAACTTACATCTTCTACCATCATATTACCTTTTATGCAATAGTATTGAGTTTTTTTTAATCAATATCAAGCATTGCATGAAGTGAAAGGACTATTCAGCAACTTCTCACCACTTTGTATCTGTAATATTTTACATTTTCATTGGTCCTCTTTGTAACATTTAACTAAGCCACCTGATATGAAGGATCCATCATCATTCACGAGTTGCCCAAACTTGACCCTGACCTCAAGACAGCACCATCAAGGCATACAATCACCCAAAGCCAGGGATGAAACGAGTCTATGCAGTTCCTGACCTGTTTAACGCACATGACAAATTATTGCAATAATATAGTCCACATAAAAAGGTGCATTTAAGAGCTACAAAGTTAAAAAACAGCAACAGACGGACATAACAAAACAGAAAGAAACCAAAGCTCATGAGCGACAGACAAAAAAAATCCAGTTTTAACAGTCACCATCCTTGTGCTGTCATTACAACTCCTGGACAAAGTAGACAGTAAAAAGTTGCTGAATTGTCGCGTTAAATGGGACTTTGCACAACACAGCACAGCTATCACACGGTTACAGGCACAATAACCAGGAACATGATGCAGACAGTGTACAGCGGCTTTAGTCACTCTAATAAACGTCTTTTTAAAAGTGGCTGACGATGAGAACGGTCCGCCAAATGTATTCTACCTGCTCACGTAAATGAGATATAAATAAGATTCGTTTAGCTTTACTCACTGATCCAGATTCAATATCAATGCTAATTTACCAACACTGTGCTGCGGTTTTGCTGGAGTAGCATTCAGTGATGTAAACTGAACCCGCAAATGGGCCGATCTCCAGCAGATAAGCAACAGAAGCCATTGACACTGTCTTATGTCTGGAACGTAATCAAATATTAGACTTGAAGCAGCAGCGCAACTGAAGAAGGTTAAAGAAAACAGAATCATTTTGCCATCTTGAGCATTACGAGTCTCTCTATTTGGCTAATAAACTCCACAAACCCTCATTTTCTTGGAGAAGGAACTACGAAAATCATATTTACACAGTAGAGTAATGATAATGCAATATATAAGATGAGTAGAAAGGAATGAAATGATTTGAGTTGCCCAGATTTTACCTACATGCGTGTTTGGATACTAGTTTCAGGTACAGAGATGGGAAATTACTGATCCACCACTGCTTTCGGTGAGCAAATCCTCTTCTATGTGAGTTACCTGCGTTGAGGACATTCAGATGTAGTGGACACTACTGTCATCCGGCTTTGATATTAACTGTAAGCTCCAGAGAAATGCTGTATGGTTTGATATGTTTTTTTTTTTACTACCATAGTTAAAAAGGAGGTTGATTTACTTTGACATAACAATTCGATTTTTAGTGAGGCAAAATGTGATTAAACTACATCTAAGGAAACGTAATGCTTACAGCTCTAAAACTACCACTAAAAAGGATCATAGAAATAAAATGATCACTTGGTTGTACCTACAGGTGCCCTTAAACGCCACAAGACTAAGGCTATTGGATGTCAAGTGCGGATTTAGCTAAACCAAGACATTTATGTTGGAAACTTTTTCCTAAAGTGATATCAGATAGCACCAAATAATCAACAACAACAAAAAATCTTCATCTTCCGGCCGTGTGCACTTTGTTGGGGCAATCGTACTCCGAATGAAAGGCTCGAATAAAGCACTGACTATTTGGTTTTCTACATTTGCACCATTTGCTACAAAGAGAGCAGTGAACTGAGAAAGTAGCTGTATTGAATCTAATTAGAGGCCTGAGATAACCAAACCCCTGAGCTGAGATCAGTGTCAAAGCCAAGTAAAACGTCTCTACAGTATCATTACAGTAAATCAAAGTGCACAAAAATAGTTTGTTTGTGACTGGGACGTCTCTCTGAAAACAAATTAACTTGTCAAATTAACACATTAAAATGTGCCTTATGCAGAATCATAATTTCAAATTAAATTGGAATTAAAATGTTTAATAATGCATTTCCTTTTCCAGAACGAATTATCCAGTTAATTGACAGTATCAAATGAAATTGGTCTAATCATCCACTGAATAAATAACCAAAATTAATGAAGTTTTTGTTTTAAAATCGTTACATTTCTTTGATTTGCAACTTGAAGTCATAATTCAAATTCCAATTAAACATCCTGGGTGGCCAATTCGATTCAGATTCACATTTCACTTTAATTGAAAGGTGCCAATTAAGTTCTGAAACTTGCTCAAAGGAACATGATAGCACACTTCAAATCTGTTATAAGGCATTCACTGTGTTATAAAGAGGAAGAAACGGTTTAAAGGTATAATTCACCCAAAAATTTTAATTCTGTCATTATTTACTAACACTCATGTTGTTCTAAACCTGCATGAAGTTCTTCTTCTGTTGAATATAAAAAAAGATATTTTGAAGAATGTGGGTAACAGCTGCTGGTCCCCATTGACTTCCATAGCATAGAAAACAATACTAATAGAGTCAATGGGGACCAGAAACTGTTTGGTTACCGACATTCTTCAAGATATCTTCTTTTGTGTTCAGCACATGAAAGAAATATATACAGGTTGAGGGCGAGCACATGACAGAATTTCCATTTTTGGGTGAACTATCCCTTTAACGAAGTCTGCATAAGTGTTTCCGAGACACTGAAGGATCGGGGTTAAGCTATAGCTTATGCTATGGCCATATTCAAATGTGAAAGAAATGAAAAGTACAAAAAGCAGCATAGGCTAAAGTGGCCTTTAAAGTGTTACATCGGAGAGGAGACGTTCAATATTTCCCAGTATCTCCCATGTTGGCTGTAATTCATGAGAGCTTGACTGCAAGATGAAGTAATGCGTGCACACTTAATATTCAAAAATATTATTGATCTGCCTTTACTGACGCTGTTGCATGAGAACTGAGCTGGAAGGTGACATCGTTTTTTTGCAGAACTGCTTTACAGATTAAATGAACTAATTTAATAATTGATGATCTTTCCAATGGAACTGAATCAACACTGAACTGATTCAGCTGAACAACAGCCGAAATGCATCATTTTCCTATTATCACTGTAAAGCTGCTTTGAAACAATCTGTATTATATAAAGCGCTATATAAATGAGGGTGACTTGACTAGTGGTTTTAGCACCTGTAACGTTGAGTTAATATGGGCAGCAGTGGAACAGTAAAGGTTCCCGCAAAGAGAAATTACACCTGTATGTACATTTACATCCGTAAACAGAAATATGCAGACAATAGTGCTATAAATTGATCGTTATTTAGTAACCTTTTAGGAGAAAGTTACTTATGACAAAACACTGTTTTTGCAAGCCCTTACATAAAAGTACTGTGGTAAAAGCATAAAAAATGAGGTTTGGTCACTAGCATAATAATACCATGCTATTTACTCAGTACCATACTATATGGATAGTTCACCATCAATATGTAAACATTTTTTTTTTTTTTTTTCAAAAAATGTTATGAGGAAAAGCGTAGATTAAGGTGCTGCAACTGGTCACCATTTCTTTCTGAAGCTTTTCACTTTAATCACCCCTTTTGCCTTCACTAGTTCATTTTAAAAGGTCCTGAGGTGTGACAAATCCATTTTTAGAAGTACAGATATTCCATGTACTCTTTCGATTCGTATGACCTCATTAAATCCACATGCATAATAACTTTAAAAGAGCAAAATGCAGTTAAAACAGTATTAGATGGAGAATAGCATGTCATACTGCAGAACATGTCACCTACCCATTAAAGAAAGCACCATGGTATTACCATGTGATAGCATCACTGAACCATGGTACTGCCACAGTACTTTTTTGCAAGGGACATTTGATTGAAATGAAAAAAGGTGGGATGGATAATATAATAACTTAGTGGGTGAAATGCACTAATAGCATTTCTAGTAACAGTACAGTGTCATCTGCAGGTGTGGGGCAGCTGTCGGGAGTTTGGACCTCAACATGGGCGGCAGGAGAGATGGAGGGGATGATGGGAACGTCAATCGGATGTTCAGAGAGGAGGGAGTTTTGGATCTGTTTCTTTTTCCGGCGACTCGATGTAATTGGCAGCCTCTTGTAGTTTTAACAGCATAGCCATCTGGAAAAAGAGCAGAGTTTTCAGGAACAAGAAAATATCGAGATATTTCTTATGTAATAAGTACTGATACGGGGAAGCCATTTAAAGACAAAATTTAAAATTCTTTCTTTTTTTTTTTTGCACAATGTTGCAGTGCTTATTATAAATGATTTATCCATGTACATTTTTTTTTTTAAATTCATATGAACCTTGTAAATGTTCTCTTCATGCTCTTCGTGCAGGGTGCGTCTAAAGATCCTCCACAACTGATATCAAACTGACATTCTGATCGGCCTCTGTTTATAGTTAGCAACGCCCAATTTCCTACGATCCAATCAATTCATGAAGGATGAAAGCAAATCCTGCCCGACATTTCTCATTCTCATCCCAGAAGCCTTTTCATTCAGATATACGTCACAGCAGGGAAGAAAAGACTTATCGGATCTTCAGTTTCATGTTGACTTTAATGCATATTTACTTACTTGTTTGAATGAACTGTGAACTATGTGCATATATAAAAGTCACATATTACATATATACCTTTTTTGGTGGTGACAAAAAAAAAAAATACAGTGTGTGTGTGTATATAATGTGTACAAAAATACTTGTGTTCCTATAAAAATGTATGTTCTAAAAATATTATCATTATTAATCTTGTCAAGCAGGAACTGACTCATATTAAGCGTTTATATTAAGTCTATGAGCGCACGTATGATTTATAAGCTGTATATATATATACACATTACATTATATAAATGTAAACTGTATTTCAACCCCCTAATCCTAGACCTACCCATCGCAGAAACTTTCTGCATTTTTACATTTTCAAAAACATGATTTATAAGCTGTTTTCCTCATGGAGATCAAAAATGTCAAAAAAGGACAAACATTTCTGGAATAACAATCCTTGTGGGAACATTTGCTACTAGGACCACACACACACACACACACGTGCACTCACACACAAAAGACATATATGTATATAATACATTTTAAATTGACTGTACTTAAATTATTGTTGTATTATGCTGACAGCCCTAATCCACACACTCTCAAACACAGCACTGACCAGTGGATCTGAGTCCACAGAGCTGGGTGGCGTCTCCTTATGTGTCCGCTCGTCTCCTGGCTGGCTGGGGCTGCCGGGGCCTGTGCTCGGGGGGGGCAGATGGAAGAGTTTGGCCTGGTCTTGCTGAGCAGACGGCCAGGGTAAAGATCCTCTGACCCACTCCACCGGATCCTCCCACACCGACTTCTGCCCGTGAACCTGCAGACGCACACATTCACACTTATTCTTGATAAAAACAAGTTAGGAAGTGACTGACATTTTGTCATTCAAGTTTAGGATACTTTGACTCACCTTAATGCCATCTTTGGCTCCTTCCTGCAGGTATGGGATGATTGAGTGATTCCAAAGATCAATAAACCACGTGCGGAAATCCTCTACTGTAACTGGACAGGACAGGAAGAAGCAGGGACCTACGGCAACACAGATTGGACACAAATAGGTGGAAATACTCACTTTTATTAGGCACATCAAGCTTGTTATTGAAACAAATGCCACTTTATTCTCATCCAATATGATACCGATATAATACTACAAATTACCAATGAGGAAATCGGAGGTGCTGTGTTTTTCCAGGAAGGTGTGAAGGTGGTACCAGAGTCTGGGCACCCAGTCCAGAACCCGCAGAAGATCTTCATTATTTATGCTCTTGGGATCCTCGGCCTCCATTAGTTTTCTGTGCAAGTAACGCACCAGGAACCCGTTTGCCGGCTCGACGTTATTGGAAAACATCACCATCCTGTATAGAGGAAATATATAACAAGTTAAAGCATTTCGGGTCAGTAAGATGTTTTATTCTGCAAGGACACATTAAATTGATCAAAGTGACAGTGAAGATGTTTCCACAAAAATATGAAGCAGCAAATCAGCATATTAGAATAATTTCCGAAGGATCATGTGACACTGAAGACTGGAGTAATGATGCTGAAAATTCAGCTTTGATCACAGGAATAAATTACATTTAAAAAAATATATTCACATAAAAAATGGCTATTTTAAGTTGAAATAATATTTCACAATATTACTGTTTATATTTTTAATAAAATAAATTCAGTAAAATTTCTTTCAAAAACATTTGAAAAATCTTACCGACCTCAAACTGTTGAACTATAGTGTAGGTCAAATAAAGTAAATCACACATGCGTCAATTTGAGTGGACCTCAAGTAAATATTCCACAAATAAACTTTATGTATACCCCATTTGATAACATTAAACCCAATTATATTATAAATGTGTGTGTAAAAACATGAAAGAGATGAATGAACAGTCTGCCAGTCACTGTGGAAAAATAAATCATGACCGGATGATAAGTGTCTTGTATAAGAATAAGAATGACCAGCTTATAAAGGCTACTCACCAAATGAATGAATAAATGAGCATGAAACATTTATTTGAAGTGAAATTAGAGAAAAAGGACTGAGGAGTGATACAAGAAACATAAAACTAGCACATCTATGGCTAGAATTGTGGTTTGTGATTAATTGTTGAAAAAGAGAGTCAGGGCAACCCATGTCGGTATAATAAAACACACATATTGGTAACACATGGCAAGCACATGTTAGTGTCACCCAAAGTGACAATCAAAACAAAAGCACATGATCTTCAAGAGGACGGAGCAACACGTCACAGCTGTTCCTCACTGAGGCTCAATAAGAAGTAATCTTTGTAGTAGTAAAGTGCATGTTAGTACCAACCTGAAGCTGAGGTGTAGACCATGGTTAGGGGTCATCTTCACTGGCTGATTGGTTGTCCCAATTATATATGGACTGAAAAAGAGACAAAACAGCTCTTAACACCATTGAAATGACTGGGAACCCCACTCGTCATTTGAGTGTAGAGTTTACACTCACCATTTGTGATATTTACAGGTTAAAGCACCATTAACAAGTTCACTAAGGGATGTTGGATCATGCACATCATCCAAGAGGACAACCAATGGGATCTCGGCTGTGCTGCTCTCTCGATCAATCTGATTGGCCAGATTGGACAGATAGAGCTGAAGGTCCTTTTGGGATAAGGGACAAAACGCAATAAGAGATTATGTCAAGTCACATTTATTTACATAGCGCTTTATACAATGCAGATTGTTTCAATGACACTTCACAGTGATAAACAAGACAACAACATTGTTAATGTTTAAATTGATAAATTATGAAACATTTCAGCTGGAGAATACAGAAGACAATATTGTCCTTATTCAGCTGAATTCATTTCGGTGTTATTTCAGTTCAATAACAGTGCAAAGTTAATCAATTAAGAAACAAATTCAATTTCAGCTGTAAAGCAGCTCTAGAGAATAGTGTCATTAGTTCAATAGTGTAATTATTCAGCTCTATTTAGTCCAGTGTTAATTCAATTCAGTGTCAATGTTGCAAAGTTCATCAATTATAAAATGAGTTTAAATTCATAAATCAGGCCTACAGAAGACAATTCAGCTTTTATTCTCATTCGATAGGGTTAGTGTAGTCGAATCAATAATATTACCGAATATAAAGGGCCAGATTTGCTAAACAGGGCAAATTAGCGTGAGCGCAATCCCATAAAAGCGCCGATGGGAGTGGAAAGTTCAGCGCGTGATCTACTGACGACGAGCAAATTAAAGAACACAGACCCAGCCGGATCAGGTTTAAGACGTGCTTTTTTGGGCGGTAAATAATGGCGCAAATACCAGTAAATTGACAATCGCAATCCTTAGTAAATCATCCTGTGTGATTAATTTAAATACTTGCCCTGTCCACGGCTGTTCAGCGCTAATTTTTCACTGAGTGTCTTTAGTAAATCCTGACAAAAGAGGGTTTGCGCTTGCGCAAGCTGTTAGTAAATCTGGCCCTAATTGTCTTAAGCATGATGACCAAAAATAGCATTTATAAATTCAATTCAATTCACATTTATTTGTAAAGAGCTTTTCACAATTCACATAATTTCAAATCAGTTTTACAGAAAATGTCCACATTACAATTTAGAGTAATCTGTTATCAGCGGAAACTGTCTAAGTTATGAATATGAAAGGGTTAGTTCACCCAAAAATGAAAATGATGTCATTAATGACTCCCCCTCATGACGTCCCAAGCCCGTAAGACCTCCGTTCATCTTAGGAACACAGTTTAAGATATTTTAGATTTAGTCCGAGAGCTTTCTGTCCCTCCATTGAAAATGTATGTACGGTATACTGTCCTTGTCCAGAAAGGAAATAAAGACATCATCGAAGTAGTCCATGTGACATCAGTGGGTTAGTTAGAATGTTTTGAAGCATCGAAAATACATTTTGGTCCAAAAATAACAAAAACTAGGACTTTATTCAGCATTGTATTGTCTTCCGGTTCTGTTGTGGATCCGCGTTCAGTGCCGCTAATGACGTGTGTCTGGTGTGTGTGTGTGTGTGTGTGTGTATTCCGGTTCTGTTGTGGATCCGCGTTCAGTGCCGCCGCTGACGTAAGACGCTGCTGACGTGTGTCTGGTGTGTGTGTGTGTGTGTGTGTGTATTCTGGTTCTGTTGTGGATCCGCGTTCAGTGCCGCTGCTGACGTAAGACGCTGCTGACGTGTGTCTGGTGTGTGTGTGTGTGTGTGTGTGTGTGTGTGTGTGTGTATTCTGGTTCTGTTGTGGATCCGCGTTCAGTGCCGCTGCTGACGTAAGACGCTGCTGACGTGTGTGTGTGTGTGCCCGAGCTTCGTTTACAGTCTGAGGGAGACGCACGCTGGAAACAAAACAATCTTCGCAAACATGTCTAAGGATTTCCACACAGAGGAAGACTTGCATTTTTTTGCCCAGCCATATTTATTTGAACCCGAACACACACACACCAGACACACGTCAGCAGCGTCTTACGTCAGCGGCGGCACTGAACGCGGATCCACAACAGAACCGGAAGACAATACAATGCTGAAAAAAGTCCTAGTTTTTGTTATTTTTGGACCAGAATGTATTTTCGATGCTTCAAAACACTCTAACTAACCCACTGATGTCACATGGACTACTTTGATGATGTCTTTATTTCCTTTCTGGACAAGGACAGTATACCGCACATACATTTACAATGGAGGGACAGAAAGCTCTCGGGCTAAATCTAAAATATCTTAAACTGTGTCCCGAAGATGAACGGAGGTCTTACGGGCTTGGGACGTCATGAGGGTGAGTTATTAATGACAGAATTTTCATTTTTGGGTGAACTAACCCTTGAATATCATCATGTATATATGTTGTGGCTCTGCCTTTGATGTAGCCAGCGTACTTTGCAGGACTGGCGGTGCATGTTGAAGGTGGCAGCGATGGCAGGCGTGAGCTCTCGAGCGCTGCGCTCCACCAGGTACTCAGCGAGGCGATAGGTGAGGTAGGTCTTCCCTGTGCCGCTGGGACCCGATAAGATCAACCGCCGGTGCTTGAGCAACAGGCTGATGTAATGCTGCATCATGGGCTTAGGGATGAGCGTCTCGAACACCAGAACGTCCACACACTTCTCCTTCAGTCCTGCATTCAGGGACAACAGTCCGTGACATGAAATATTAAGGACAGTACAATATAAATACAGGTTTTACATTACATTTACAATTAGTCTTATAGCAGATGCTTTTATTTAAAGGGACAAATGAGGAATATTAACAAGCAATATGTCATACAAAAAATATTTGCAATGCCAAGTTTCAAAAGTAAGCTCGTTATAAGCGTTTTATTTCATATGTAAAAGGGGTCCCATACTTCCATAATACTTTTTTTTCCTACTATGGAAGTCAATGGGGTCCATCAAGTGTCTGGTTACTGACATTTTTCTAAATATGTGCTTTTGTGTTCAAGAGAAGAAAGAAACTCATACGGTTTTGGAACAACCTGAGGGTGAATAAATGACAAAATGTTAATTTTTGGGTGAACTATCCCTTTAATCTTGTCCATTAATTTGTTATACATGCTCTAATGCTTCTTATTAAATAATATAGTATATGAAGTAGAGTGAAATCGCACCCAGAAATGAGGGAATACACGTTTTCTACCCGAGAGAACAGTCAAATTGCTTTATTTTCATTTGTCTGGGTGGGCTATAGCATCACACGGCCTCAATAAACAACATAAAGTTGCAGCCAGTGCTTAAAATAACACCTAGACCAAGCCCTGAGGAGTCTGGGTAACGACCCCGATACCCAGGGTCATATATCAGACCGGAGGGCTCAGGAATGATGGGATTGGGGGAGGGCGGTAGTGCTCTGGGTGGGCCATGGACCAATCACACGTCCTGCTGGCTGCTGTTAGTGTGAAACATTAGCAGTATATTGCTCTTCTCTGGTGATGTGAGCTATGAAAAAAACCTCATCAGCCACAGCTGAGACAGATACAAGCATCATTTACACTGCAGTGTTGCCTGTGGGTATTTGCATTCTTTGTTGATGGTTATTGAAGATGGAAATCTGAAAATAATGGCTTGAAGCTCAAATGGAAAAATACTGAAAGATAGTGTCAGAGAAAAGACACTAATAATTTGAAACTCCATGCGAGCAGTAAGCAATTGTAAGCATATAGTTTGGAAAAATGTTTATACTGTTTAGGAAAAAAATGTATGTAAAAAATAAATAAATGTCTCTCTCTCTCTCTCTCTCTCTATATATATATATATATATACACTCACCTAAAGGATTATTAGGAACACCATACTAATACTGTGTTTGACCCCCTTTCACCTTCAGAACTGCCTTAATTCTACGTGGCATTGATTCAACAAGGTGCTGAAAGCATTCTTTAGAAATGTTGGCCCATATTGATAGGATAGCATCTTGCAGTTGATGGAGATTTGTGGGATGCACATCCAGGGCACGAAGCTCCCGTTCCACCACATCCCAAAGATGCTCTATTGGGTTGAGATCTGGTGACTGTGGGGGCCATTTTAGTACAGTGAACTCATTGTCATGTTCAAGAAACCAATTTGAAATGATTCGAGCTTTGTGACATGGTGCATTATCCTGCTGGAAGTAGCCATCAGAGGATGGGTACATGGTGGCCATAAAGGGATTGACATGGTCAGAAACAATGCTCAGGTAGGCCGTGGCATTTAAACGATGCCCAATTGGCACTAAGGGGCCTAAAGTGTGCCAAGAAAACATCCCCCACACCATTACACCACCACCACCAGCCTGCACAGTGGTAACAAGGCATGATGGATCCATGTTCTCATTCTGTTTACGCCAAATTCTGACTCTACCATCTGAATGTCTCAACAGAAATCGAGACTCATCAGACCAGGCAACATTTTTCCAGTCTTCAACTGTCCAATTTTGGTGAGCTCTTGCAAATTGTAGCCTCTTTTTCCTATTTGTAGTGGAGATGAGTGGTACCCGGTGGGGTCTTCTGCTGTTGTAGCCCATCCGCCTCAAGGTTGTGCGTATTGTGGCTTCACAAATGCTTTGCTGCATACCTCGGTTGTAACGAGTGGTTATTTCAGTCAAAGTTGCTCTTCTATCAGCTTGAATCAGTCAGCCCATTCTCCTCTGACCTCTAGCATCAACAAGGCATTTTCGCCCACAGGACTGCCGCATACTGGAGGTTTTTCCCTTTTCACACCATTCTTTGTAAACCCTAGAAATGGTTGTGTGTGAAAATCCCAGTAACTGAGCAGATTGTGAAATACTCAGACCGGCCCGTCTGGCACCAACAACCATGCCACGCTCAAAATTGCTTAAATCACCTTTCTTTCTCATTCTGACATTCAGTTTGGAGTTCAGGAGATTGTCTTGACCAGGACCACACCCCTAAATGCATTGAAGCAACTGCCATGTGATTGGTTGATTAGGTAATTGCATTAATGAGAAATTGAACAGGTGTTCCTAATAATCCTTTAGGTGAGTGTATATATATATATATATATATATATATGTATACTATTTGGGGGAAAAATCTATGTAAAACATAAATAAATAAATGTATATATATATATATATATACACTCACCGGCCACTTTATTAGGTACCCCATGCTAGTAACGGGTTGGACCCCCTTTTGCCTTCAGAACTGCCTCAATTCTTCGTGGCATAGATTCAACAAGGTGCTGGAAGCATTCCTCAGGGAGTTTGGTCCATATTGACATGATGGCATCACACAGTTGCCGCAGATTTGTCGGCTGCACATCCATGATGCGAATCTCCCGTTCCACCACATCCCAAAGATGCTCTATTGGGTTGAGATCTGGTGACTGTGGAGGCCATTTTAGTACAGTGAACTCATTGTCATGTTCAAGAAACCAATTTGAAATGATTAGAGCTTTGTGACATGGTGGAAGTAGCCATCAGAGGATGGGTACATGGTGGCCATAAAGGGATGGACATGGTCAGAAACAATGCTCAGGTAGGCCGTGGCATTTAAACGATGCCCAATTGGCACTAAGGGGCCTAAAGTGTGCCAGGAAAACATCCCCCACACCATTACACCACCACCACCAGCCTGCACAGTGGTAACAAGGCATGATGGTTCCATGTTCTCATTCTGTTTACGCCAAATTCTGACTCTAACATCTGAATGTCTCAACAGAAATCGAGACTCATCAGACCAGGCAACATTTTTCCAGTCTTCAACTGTTCAATTTTGGTGAGCTCTTGCAAATTGTAGCCTCTTTTTCCTATTTGTAGTGGAGATGAGTGGTACCCGGTGGAGTCTTCTGCTGTTGTAGCCCATCCGCCTCAAGGTTGTGCGTGTTGTGGCTTCACAAATGCTTTGCTGCATACCTCGGTTGTAACGAGTGGTTATTTCAGTCACTGTTGCCCTTCTATCAGCTCGAACCAGTCTGGCCATTCTCCTCTGACCTCTGGCATCAACAAGGCATTTCCGCCCACAGGACTGCCGCTCACTGGATGTTTTTTCTTTTTCGGACCATTCTCTGTAAACCCTAGAGATGGTTGTGCGTGAAAATCCCAGTAGATTAGCAGTTTCTGAAATACTCAGACCAGCCCTTCTGGCACCAACAATCATGCCACGTTCAAAGTCACTCAAATCAACTTTCTTCCCCATACTGATGCTCGGTTTGAACTGCAGGAGATTGTCTTGACCATGTCTACATGCCTAAATGCACTGAGTTGCCGCCATGTGATTGGCTGCTTAGAAATTAAGTGTTAACGAGCAGTTGGACAGGTGTACCTAATAAAGTGGCCGGTGAGTGTATAGTCCCCAATTAAGAATATATTTCATGTAAATTATTATAAAATGATTATGATTATTATAATTATTACACACACACACACACAATATATATATATATATATATATATATATATATATATATTTGTGCTGTCAAAAAGTTTGTAAATATATATGTGTGTATATGTATGCAATAACATTTCAGTTCATCAAACATTCATGTGCCTTTATACCTGCAGTACAAGACCAGTATTAGACTTAACATGTACGTTTGATTGTTCCCCACACTGACCTTTCAGGGCGACACTGATGCAGGAGGAGCCTGTGGTGTAGAGGCGCACTGGAGGAGTCTCGGGTGGATGAGCTCCCAGAACCCTCTTCAGATGACTGAGGCTGTAGCTGTAGATGGAGTCCTGAGAGAGGCCGAGGCTGGAGCTCGGGTCCACCACCGATAAATACTCCTGCAGAGAGAGACACAGCGAGAGGAGAAGCATGTGCATGTTTTATTTCATGTCTACATGGATGTGTTTTGTCCCTCAGAAGACTGTAGGTGGCACTCACTTTAAAAGCCTGGATAACTGCAGAGTCTAGAGCAAACCAGTCCGTCCGCCCGCTGATTTTAACCGCGCCAATGAAAAACTCCAGCTGTTTCACCTCCTATGAATGAGGTTTTAAAAAGTTAGAGCAGGGCACAAGGTTGTTTATGGTCAGTGAAACAACACATTTATTTAAATTTTTACATTAAATATTTATTTTTCATTTTTTAATATTAAAGCTCCAGTCCGTAACTTTTTTAAGTTAAAAATAATCCAAAATAATTATATTAAAAAAAACTTATTCTGCTAGTGGTCAAAACTATCTGCTTGCCATAGCTAGATTCAAAACGGTTAGCTTGTAATAATGATTTTAATTCCAGTGGTACTGGTGGGTTTCCGCGGGAAATTCGAGCATGTCTTTGCGTCATTACGTCACACCCGTACACATAAAGAAGGAGTTTCGGCTAGCCGGCTATACTGCGCGCGACGAGATGTTTAGATGTATAGGCTTTTCTCGCAGCACTTTACATAATTAAACTTATGGCATCCAGAAAGATCCAAACAACAATCATCAGTGTCAACTGGAGATTCAGCAGTTATAAAACCCAAAAGACTTCGTACTTCGGATTTAAGGTGGCTGGAGAAAGAGAAAGAAACCGTCTCATGCGAACACAAGGATTTAAACATCGGCGGGGCTTTTAAAAAGTGCGTGAACTCCGTGTTTTGAAGGGGTTCAAAACGGAAGAAGAGACGGCTTTTTTCTGCTGAACAAGTAAGACATTTCAATAGTTCAATCGTGTAACAGTACGTTTTCTTAATTCACACAGTTATGGAGTTTCCTTTGTTGTGCCTTTCTCGTTTTGCTATTATGGAGAATATGAAATCTGAACTACACAGGTAACCATAAAACACATTAAATTTAACATTAGTCACGCAATGCTGATGTTGTTAACATGAACAATTTGAGAACAAAGTAGGCTATAATTTGCACGGTTGCTGTAAATCGCGTTGATTAAATCTAACGATCGCTTGTCATGTCGAATGCTTTTTCCCCCTTAGGTGGTCAGAACAAAAATGGATGTTACTTACTTGTTCAGAAGACATTTTCTTATGAAAATTCTTATGTTGGTCAAACTTTCAAAAAGTGAATCTGTGATTCTGTATGACAGTAGGCTATCCACACAGCGCGGTGACTGACAGCAGCACTCGCCTCAAAGCACTGTGTTCATCCGCGCTGTTTCATGCCGATTTACAACCCACGTAAAGATGATAATTCCGCGAATCACTGCAGTTACAGATTTCGAACAGAGAGATGGCGACAAAGAGGAAAAGCTACGGACTGCAGCTTTAAAGAAATAAATATATATTTTATTTATAAAATGTTATAACTTTCGTTACAGCTAAAAGTGATTTATTAACTGAAATAAAATAAAATATAAATGTTAGAATAAAAACTTAAGCTAGAAATGTTGCTTTGGAAACTAACTGAACTAAAATACGCTGAAGTACCTAAACTAAAACACGTAAAAAATAAATAATTAAAAAATAGGAATACTATAAAAAAAAATAAAAAAATAAAAAAAAGAAAAAAAGCACATAACAAATTGACTAAAACTCAAATTAAAATGGAAACCAAAAATAAAAGCTTCAAAATATTAATAAATACTAAAATAGTATCAAAATAGTACAATGGCATATATAACAATGATTTTCAGTACATTACTATATGTGGCTCGTCCAATCAGAATTTGAATCTGAACTACCCCCTTTATAATGTACAGTATATGAGCAGCTGATTCATCAGTATGAAGATGCTTGTGTAAAGCACTCACGTCTTTGAATAGATGCTGGTTGGGTATGCGAATCAACACTCTGACGAGACTTTCGTCCTTCTGCAAAGTCGTGGTGGGGCTTTGAAAGACATCTATGAGATGAATAGAAATTAAAGTGAGAGTACAGAATTTAAGGCCGAATGGAGGTGAAAAATCCACATTTTGTGCACGAAATGTGTGTGTAAGAATGTGTCACCTGGGTAAGGCTCATTCTGTCCTGAAGTTTTGCTGAAAGATGATACAGATTGTCGTGGTGATGAGACGCCCAATGAACCGAGCCCTGAGGACTGGGAGGCGGAGCTTGGGGGTCTGGAGGAGGGCCCACCCGTCTTCAGCTGGTCGTTCTCCGCCTTCAGGTTTTCTACCGTAACCTGACAATGCATTTATTGAGGGATTTAAAATCCGCATTAAACGGAAGTTGCAGTCATTTTTTCTTCCCTACTGTGACAGAATGAAACAGCTTTTTGAACAAGGAAAATTTTTTTGTTTATCGGGAATTGATTGGATTTTTGGATCGTTTCCCTCATTTGATATCTCATGTGAGTGACAGGTTGTATATATGAGATGTGATGATGATGTAAGAATGTTTGACTGTTTTTCTTAGCCTATCCAGTTGAACCCACTTGATGCGATGCTGCTGCACTGTTCATTCAAAACATTGCAGAAATAGAGAAGCTCAATGCAGAGATCTTGGTTACGTCAAAGCCCTAACCAAACCGTTCACACAGAATGTGTTTTCTGTGCTGTTTTTTTCCATTGTTTTCTATGCAAACAGGCGCTAGACGGACATCCTTGACCATTACACTAAAGCCGCATGTTTAGAAAGTTATGTAAAGTTAAAAGAAGTTTAAAAAAACCACAGCATCTGATGTTTTTAAAAGCAAAAATGTTCTCTATGTGATCGGTGCTTCATCTCTTTGTATTAATCTATGCATAAAAACAAGATGCTGTTTAGTTCATAGCTGTTTATGCAATTTACGAAATTATATTTGATTTATAAACTTTAAGTTTAAACGTTATGCAGTTTTTTTGTACAGACAGTCATGTTATTTCATTGCTTTGAATGAACAATTGAATGCAGTGCATTAATATTTTGCTCATTGCGCCCTCATGTGGCCTCATGATACAAGCCAAAATCTTTTCCCCAAACTGAAATTATGCTCCTTTTTCTACATTTGAGCCCCTAAGAAACTCTGTTCGGGACTCTGTATCGGCAGATACTCAGTATTCAATGACTCGGATTGGATCAGGGTCCCAAAAAGCTTGATTGGGACATCCCCAGTTCTCTCCCTCACACACACGCACACACACACACACACACCTGCATGTTGGTCATGGCCTCCTGAAGCTGCTCCAGCTGATGTGCGGAGCTTAGAGCCTCCAAACGGATGTCCGTCAGCTTGCGCTCTTTCTCCCATAGTTCAGTGCGTAACACTGACACCACTTTCTCTTCATGCTCAGTCTCCTCAGGCCCTTCGCACGATCTGCCGGAAACACCAGTAAAGCTTACATAACATAATGTATAATTCAAATCATCTCTTAAGACATGGTGTTTATAATGTGGCAATCATTGCATGTCCTACCCTAATGTTGAAGTTGAGGCCTTTGCGGGGACATTATCCACATTATGGTGTATTTTGGGTGAAGATGGGGCGGATGTGACCGGGGTTGCGATCTCCTCTATATCTGCGTATGGAGCTTTGGAGCCCTTTTTACTGAAGGCCTTGTTGAAGGAGCTCCGCAACTACATGTAGAGGAGAAATCAAAGTTTAACAAAAGCCTAAGTCTTTAAAAACAAATATAAAGTGTTAGCGTTGGTTTGGATTCATGACAGGCATGTCTATGATTTGAAGTGTTTGTGATGGCGTATGCATTAAGAATCTTTATAATTAATTTTTGCTCTTTGTTTTCAAGCAAAGCATTCAACTAGCATTAGTAGTACATATCGAACTGAATGTATGAATGTCTATTTCTCAGCAGTGTTGTTGTTAACTACACTTAAAGGAATTATGAATTAAATAGTATATACATTATATGGTGTTTACCCTGCAAAAGTTCACATTTGAAGTGATGCTTGTCTCAGACATTAGTTATGACAGTGTTATTCACAAAGCACATATCAACCAGTTGAAGAAAGCATGAAATGATGGAGAGTAGCAGGACACTTGGATCATCATGTGCTAAGTATTTCAGTCAATATGTCTAATAATTGTATATGTAATATGGCAGATTCTAAACCTGAAAGCATCATTTTCAGAATTATTGACAGAGTTTATGTCCGTATAATACATAAACGATGAAGATATTGATTGTTTCTTTAGATGCTGATGTGTTTGTGATGGGGTGGGCTGGGTAAATTACTCACCTCGTAGACCTTTAAAATAGGGAGCAGGGAAGCATAGGAAAGAGATCTCAGTCATACTCAAACATATAGCATTTTTAACACTGAACCTAAAGATACTGAACCTAAAGACATAGGGATATGTTCACACTTCACAACCTGATTGGTCGGCTTTTATGATGTATATTTCGCGATCTAACATCTAAAACAATGCTGTGTTCTGGGCTAAATGCGCTCGCTGTATGTGCGTAGCTACATATGATGGTATTCTGACCAGCTGAGAACTCGTGAAGAGCTTATAAATGTGTAAAGGAGTCAAAACAGCGTCAGGAATCCTCCCTCACACACACACACACACACAGATCTGCTGTAAGGAGACGCGGTTCTGATGCTTTTACTGAACTTGCCAAGCATGCCAAGTGTGAACACACCCTTAATGCTAATGGATGCATGTTAATAAACAGCTGTGTTACAAAAAACCCATAAACAATATACAAAAACATCTTATCCCTGCTGGAAAGAAACAGATCGTACTAGTTTAAGGTGGCCAGACTGGTTTTGACTTTGTTGCTGGACCAGCGATCCACCTTATTTTGCTACTCATAAGCTATTTTCTTTGAATGTGCAACAATTTCGATTCATTAGTCGCTTATAGGTAAACAACTAGAAGAATAACAGTAATGCAGTAAATTGTAAACCTATTTGGGTAATAATTACAAAACAGTGTGTTTATAATTATGACAATACATCAGAATAATATGACCACAAAAACTAGTTTTCAATATCAAGCAGCATAACAGAGTGTTTTTGTACAGCTACAATAACGAAGGATAACCAGCTTGAACAAGATCTACCAGGTCAACTGAACCGGCTGCACTAAATAGCCCATCTATACATTAGACATAATGTATATAGACATATCCCATAAATGACCAGTCTGGACTGGTATTCCCTTTTCCTCACCCAGCTCTTCTTCTTCTTCTTCTTGGCCTCCTGTTCCTTCAGGCTGCCGGCGCTGGAGTGACTGGTGATACTGTTCAGACTGGAGATGCTCTCAGACGAGTTCTGCCGGTCCATCTGCAGCTCTGGGAGAAAAATATAACAAGAAAAATAGCTTTATGCATGACATGATTAAATGAAAATACAAAATAATATTGTAGATTAAAACATCTTGATCATTCTGAACTCAGACTGCCAAACCTTTGGGTGTGGTGTCGGGGGTATTGAGGGCCACTTGCATGAGCGACTGGGCTTCTGTGTTCTTGGTCTTCAAGATATCTATGGTTTCCTTCAGGTCCTGTAGCTCAGAATCCTGAAATTACAAGGCAAAGTTAAACTTACTCACCAAGGCTGCATTTATTTGATCAAAAATACACGGTAATATTGTGAAATATTATTACAATTTAAAATAACTAATTTCTATAGAAATCTATTTTAAAATGTATTTATATCTGTGATCAAAGCTGAATTTTCAGCATCATTACTCCAGGTAAAGGTAAATGTATGCATATTTTAAAATAAATTATAATACAGGGCTGTTGAATGCTTGATTCTGATTGGCTGACGAACGTTCTAAGGTGTGCAGTTATTGGCAGGGAAACGCGCCGCTAAAGTAGTTCCAGCAGGTCTTGACCGCATTACAGTTCCATATCACTTCGCCAAATGATTTCAGTTATTTCAAAAGGTCTTTACAACAGCAAAAGAACCAAAACTCACAACGACACTGACCATGCAAATAAATATAGTTAACAATAGAATAAAAACAAATTATTTCAAGGTTTTTTTCCCACAAAATTAAGTTTTATTATGTACGTAAACCACATAGTCTCACTCTCCCGCTCAAACCCACACACACAGTACGGACACACACTCACACAGAAACGTGTTGTTAGCACTGCGTTTTTATCAGTAAAATAGTTTAGCAACTTAAAAGCTACATGACATTTCTCACTAGCGAGGTAATAACGGTACTGTTCTTGAAGCAGATAAACTTACAGTTTCGCTATTAGTAGAGACGCTGCTGCCCGAACACTGTTGAGAGACGCACAGATTCAGGTAATTCACACACACTTTATCTCTCTCTCTCTCTTTCTCTCTCTCTCTCTAATAACTGCATTAATAACTGCATTAGTCTACTATCAAAGCCTCAAGCCTCCGTTACTAGCTCTAAAATGACGTTATAATAATAATAATAATGCATTATTTTTCTAATAATTCAATGGCCCATCATCAATTCCTTACATATTATTTGCAAATAGTTTAAATTGATTAGGCTACTTAATAACTACATTCTTTCTTTTTTTTCTATATTCCCTTAAATACCTTTAAATCCTTTAATTATTTAATGCCTTTAAATAAAAAGACCAATACCATCCATGTTGAAGACATAGTTACATTCTTGCTGTAAACTGACCTTCTGCTCAGAAGTGACCGACAGACTCTGTAGTCGTGCTGTCATGAGGGCCAGACTCTGTTCAAACGCCGCCACCAGGTTGGCCTGCAGAGAGGAACAGGTTAGTGTCTGACATACTGTACACTACGCATCATTACACAACACACACTCAGATGTGTGTGTCTCCATCTGGACGGGAGTGACGGGAAAGGACGGGAATCAAGAACAGCTGTTGAAATGAATGGATGGATGGAGGGTGAAGAGAGGATGACCTGCAGGCTGGAAAGGACAAAAACATGAGGTTGCCATGTGATGACACACACGCTACAAAAGAGAGAGTGTATGAACGAGACTATGGAATCATCCTGATAAAAAATACAATATCCATCATGCTTCTCACTCCGACTCCGGCTGCGCATGCTACTGCATCACAACTACATGTTTACATTTCCTGGAAAAACTCTCCCACGGGATGCTAGGCTGTTGTGGCTGGTTACCAGGGTGTTTCCATAGATATATACACTAGATGTCGCCTTGGGGTTCTAAGCATGCGCCAAAACCGCCGCCATCTTGGAACAGGGGTCTTGTCATAGGAAGTAGCTAGGTAATGCTGCTATCTCCGCCTGTACTTCGAATCGATGGATTTTCGGACTTTTGCGCTGCGTATGGATGTTCACACAAACGAAATCTGAACTAGGAAGAATGTTTTAAAAAAAAATAATTTTTAAAAAATGTTCTCTGGACTCAATGATAAATACATGTCTGACCATTGGAACGAACCAAAAAACCTAGAAAATCGCATTCATGACGATTTATGGTGATTTTATTTCCGTTAGACCTTTGCCTACATTGATGCTTATGCATTTAAGAGGAGGGGCTCCCCTGTTCCATGATGGCGGCTCTATTGACGACAAGGCGACATCTAGTGTATATATCTATGGGGTGTTTCTAGGTGGTTGCTATAGCGTGTTTTCATGGTTGCTAAAGGTTTGCTATGCTGTGTCTAGGGTGTGATGGATGGTTGCCAGGGCATTGCTATGTGGTGTTCTGAGTGGTTATTAGTGTGCTATGCAATTGTTAGGGTTTTCTCATTGGTTGATAGGGTGTTATGGATAGTTGCTATGTGGTTAGCAGGGTGTTGCTCTGTGGTTGCTTAGGTGTTCTCAATGGTTGCCAATTGGTTGTTAGGATGTTATGGAAGGTTGCCACTGAATTGCTATGTTTTTGCTTGTGATGAGTGTTTTTTTACCATGCTGCTATGCAGTTGCAAGGGTGTTCGGTATAATTACTAGGGCGTTGCTATGCGGTGTGTTCTGAGTGGTTATTAGTGCGTTGGATTTGCTATGCGGTTGCTAGGGGGTTCTCAGTGGTTGCTAGAGTGTTATGATTGGTTGCCAGGACATTGTTATGTGATTAATGGGGTGTTGCTAAGTGGTTGCAAGAGCATTGCTAAATAGTGTTAGGATGTTGTATGGCTTCCACGGTGTTGCTATGTGATTTCCAGGGTGTTGCTATGTGGTTGTTAAGGTGTGTTATCACACTGATATTAGGTTACTAGAGTGTTCTGGGTGGTTGTTAAGCAGTTGCTAGGGTATTGTAAGAGGTTCCAAAGGTGTTCTGGGTGGACATACAAAGCACAAATGATGCAATACAAGTCACACACAAAATTGAATACTCTGGGTTATGGGTTTGTTCAAATAAGCAAATGCAACTTTTAATCCTCAATTAGTGCATTTGTGATTATGTCAGTGTTTGCGGTTCCGGTTCCCACACAGGGTAAACACTATGACATCATCAGCATTAGGTCAGATGACACCCAAAAAGCCACAGAGCAAACATAAATAACTTCAACTTCACATTAGGGCTGGGCATTGACACAAATTTCACGATTCGATTTACAAGCTTGCAATTCTGTTCCGATTAAATTCGATTCGATAACAATTATTTTGGAAATATATAATACATGGCTAATTTTCTCTTTTCTAATAACTTAGACCTTATTCAGGTATGAAAGCGAGGCTGTGAGGGAAAGACTTGCCATGTTTTCAATGGCATCCGCTATATAAAAAGTGGTATAAAAATCAATTTCTCTGGAAGATATGTTTGCAATGTTCGTTTGCTCGCTTTCATTTCGTGTTAAAAATAAAAGATGGCGCTGCTGTGAATAATTCTCAAGCTGTTTTATTGATGACTTTCCACGATTGAAACACTGAGCGATTAAGTTACATGAGACAAGATAAGGATTTCGGCAAGCTGTACTGTATATTTCAACATACCTTCTGATGTTCATTCATGTTTATTTCGTGCTGTAAAACGCAGTAAAGAGGAAGAGATGGTGCATTCCTGTTTCACTTGATCTAAGGGCTTGATCTGATCTGAGGCGGCACAACAACAGCGATCTTTCAAGCCATATTAAACAGTGCCAAAACAGTATTTATTGTTTAAATTCCATAATAAAATGGACAGAATTTGAAATCTGAGACTTTTGTTGTGTCCGAAATCGCATACTGTCTGAGTAGGTATATTTGAATTTGCTTCGCGACTGTAAAAATCGGTAGTATGAATTTTAAATTCGTAATTCGTACGTACTACACATTCACCATGTTGTTACTGTCACGTGACTTACCAGCGTCAGTTGCGTCGTTTCACTTCCCTTCATAAATCATCTCCCATGGCCTCATGGGATAGTTACGTTTTTTTAATTTTTTTTTACTTTATTACATTTTTTCAAATAACAAACAGGCATTATCATATTGTTAAACACATTAACAATAAGATCAATCAGCATATCATAAACAAAAAGAAAACAATAAGATAAAATACATAAATAAAAATGAAAATAACACCAAAACACGTAAAGCAAATTATATTAAATTACAGATTGAAATCAAATTTCAGGGGGGTTAATCCATGTACTGTATGTTGTCAGTAATTTAGAGAGTTTTAAGGCACTCCTCTTTTTTAATTGTTTTAAGGATTGAAATAAAATTTTTAAATCATGTTTAAATGCCTCAAAACCTGGAGAAACTTTAACATATCTACATTTGTGTAAATAAAACTTGGCGACAATCAACTTATTATCACGGGATAGTAAAGTGAATGCGCACTTCAGAATCTCAGTAAGACATCCAGGGACTTTTTTCTACTATTTTACGCAGACTATATATAGTAAGGAAGTACACGATTTCGGACGCATATCAAGAGTAACAAAGCACAAAGCTTATTGTGACTTATTTGATGGGAGGCGCGATGCAACGTTCTGTTCATCCATCATCTGAAAACAGAATAGTCTAAAAGATCGATTCTTGTGATTTAATCGATATCGGTTCATAAAAATGAGAATCGATTAAAATCGAGCTAAATCGATATTTTGTACCCAGTCCTACTTCACATCATCAGTCAACGCCACTCTAAGGGCAGGGAGGCCTTCGAGAGGCACACACACACACACACACACACACACACACACACACATGCAACAGCGAGTGACAGTCCAACAAACCTGGCCTGCCTGCAACAGCCAGCAACCCCAGGAACCAGTCAGTCATCAGAGGCCAGGAGAGGACATCAGCCAGGGAGAGAGGGAGAGCGCTGTTAGGACTATAGGGCCACAACTCTCCATCCCACATACACACTCATATATACACTGCGATCAGAAATCAGGGCCCTCTGGAGGGGATTTACAGGTGCATTCTCACCTTCGGTTTCCACACATTTAAAGCACAATGTAGACCCCTACTCAGACAGGACTACTTTTCCCTGAGGTGATTTGGTAAATTCATGCTTTGATTGATTTTAATCCTGTTCGACTCAGACTGGGAAAACTAATCCTGTCTTCATATGAGCGTCACTACAGTGTGTGACTGTATTGCTGATCAGTGCAGGGTGAGTTGAAAAGCAGGTTAGTGGGAGTTTGCTGTGAGAAGTGATCAATTATTGACACCAGAGACAGCTGGATTTAAAACACTAGAAATATTGTGATTATAAAGATCAACATTGCATGGCAACACTCAATAATTAACTAATAATCCTGGGTTGACTGGGGAAACAAGCAATGATTATTGAAAAGTTTAGAAAAGTGGTAGAATGTAGAAATGCCGGTGAGTGTCTGATAAACAAACAGCTATGACAACATATTATGGACATTTAAAGGGATAGTTCAACCAAAAATTTAAATTCTGTCATTATTACTCACCCTCATGTCGTTCCAAGACTTTCGTTCATCTTCGGATCACAAATAAAGATCTTTTTGATTAATGGATGTTTATATGTGAATAAAAGCCTGAATTAAATCTGTTAATCATATATAGAGATCGAGTCTCGGCAGAAAATTTAGACTAAACCGTTCAATTCATATGGATTAGTTTTACGATCTCTTTACGAACTTTTTGAAGCGTTAAAGTGGTAGTTGCGTAGCTGTCAATGGAGGGACAGAAATCTCTCAGATTTCATCAAAAAGATCTTCATTTGTGATCCGAAGATGAACGAAAGTCTTACGGGTTTGGAACGACACGAGGATGAGTAATAATGACAGAATTTTCATTTTTGTGTGAACTGTACCTTTTAATATGTATAAAGACTGAAATTGCTATAGCTATCATGACACAATAAATGTGACTTGTATAATATAAAAATGAAATAAAACAACAAATTAAAATTTTAAATGTATAATATAAAAAAAGAGAAATGTGATTAAGAGATCTATGTACATGTATTACTTTAAAATAATACCAAGAAAATAGAATGCAGTAAAATAACCCTCATTTTTTGCGTATATAATAGTGTATGTGTTTTTGCACGTACATTTGCTGAGAGTTGGGTGGTCAGGCTGGCCACTTTATCCTGAGACGACTCGAGCTCACGCCTCAGTATCCGGATTTGCTGAGATGGAAAACGAGTTGCAAACAACACAAAGTCATATACAGCACTATAGTACTTTCAAAACACAGATATTTATGGTCAGCAAAAGATGGTTTAAGCTTGAAATGTAATGAAATTAGTATAAGAATGACGTCACTTAAAAAGAGAACTATGGTTGGTTGATTTACATGTCTGGTTCTTGGCCAGAATGAGTTGCAGTGTGGATCAGACTCAGATTCAAACGTGAATATGAATGTTTTATATCTTGAGCAGAAAATAAGAGGAAGCAAAGGATAAGGACAAGCCGACAACAGCGTCATAAGAAAAGTCTTACCTCTCCTTGAATTCTCTCTTCATTCTGAGAGTGCATGATACAGAATTGGAGATAAAGACCAAGAAAGGTGAGCAAGAACAGGAAAAAGAGAGGAAAAAAAGCCTGTGCGTTAAAATGCCATCATTTACTCACCCTCATGTCGCTCCAAACCCATAAGAATTTTCGTTCCTCTTCAGAACACAAATGAAGATCTTTTTAATGAAATCTGAGAGATTTCTGTCCCTCCATTGACAGCTACACAACTACCACTTTGACACTTCAAGAACTTCATAAAGAGATCGTAAAACTAATCCATATGAATTGAGCGGTTTAGTCCAAATTTTCTGACGAGACTCGATCGCTTTATATGATGAACAGATTGAATTTAGGCTTTAATTCACATAGAAACATTGACCAGCGAACATAAGCAGAATGTTCTGTGTTCTTGCTGAAGCGCAAACGTGATGCGTAACATGAGAATGAACCTCATTGGTTCTTACAGAAGCTCAAACGTGATGCGTAACACGAGAATGAACCTCATTGGTTCTTGCTGAAGCTCAAACGTGATGCGTAACACGAGAATGAACCTCATTGGTTCTTACAGAAGCTCAAACGTGATGCGTAACATGAGAATGAACCTCATTGGTTCTTACAGAAGCTCAAACGTGATGCGTAACACGAGAATGATCCTCATTGGTTCTTACAGAAGCTCAAACGTGATGCGTAACACGAGAATGAACCTCATTGGTTCTTACAGAAGCTCAAACGTGATGCGTAACATGAGAATGAACCTCATTGGTTCTTACAGAAGCTCAAACGTGATGCGTAACATGAGAATGAACCTCATTGGTTCTTACAGAAGCTCAAACGTGATGCGTAACACGAGAATGATCCTCATTGGTTCTTACAGAAGCTCAAACGTGATGCGTAACACGAGAATGAACCTCATTGGTTCTTACAGAAGCTCAAACGTGATGCGTAACATGAGAATGAACCTCATTGGTTCTTACAGAAGCTCAAACGTGATGCGTAACATGAGAATGAACCTCATTGGTTCTTACAGAAGCTCAAACGTAATGCGTAACATGAGAATGAACCTCATTGGTTTCCTGCAGAAGCTCAAACGTGATGCGTAACACGAGAATGAACCTCATTGGTTCTTACAGAAGCTCAAACGTGATGCGTAACACGAGAATGAACCTCATTGGTTCTTACAGAAGCTCAAACGTGATGCGTAACATGAGAATGAACCTCATTGGTTCTTGCAGAAGCTCAAACGTGATGCGTAACACGAGAATGAACCTCATTGGTTCTTACAGAAGCTCAAACGTGATGCGTAACACGAGAATGAACCTCATTGGTTCTTACAGAAGCTCAAACGTGATGCGTAACATGAGAATGAACCTCATTGGTTCTTACAGAAGCTCAAACGTGATGCGTAACATGAGAATGAACCTCATTGGTTCTTGCAGAAGCTCAAACGTGATGCGTAACACGAGAATGAACCTCATTGGTTCTTAAAGAAGCTCAAACGTGATGCGTAACACGAGAATGAACCTCATTGGTTCATACAGAAGCTCAAACGTGATGCGTAACACGAGAATGAACCTCATTGGTTCTCACACGTCCAGCAAACAAGCTTGAGCTTCTGTTGACCACAACTGATGTGAGTTGATCAACGTTTAAATGTGAATAAAAGCATAAATTAAATCTGTTCATCATATAAAGCGATCGAGTCTCTTCAAAAAATTTGGACTTAACCGCTCAATTCATATGGATTAGTTTTACGATCTCTTTATGAACTTTTTGAAGCGTCAAAGTGGTAGTGAAATCTCTCCGATTTCATTAAAAAGATCTTCATTTGTGATCTGAAGATGAACGAAAGTCTTATGGGTTTGGAACGACATGAGGGAGTAGATGATGACAGAATTTTCATTTTTCTGTGAACTATCACTTTAAGAGAAACTGCAAGAATTAAAGGGCCAGTCAGATCAGATTTTGTGCTCCATTCAATTTTAAGTGTAGAGTTTTCTGATTTATCTATATAATAAAGTTCAAGATTGATGAACTTTGAATTTTTATTTTTCTATTCTATAAAATAAAATAAAAAGACCTCTGACCAATAGAGCCATCTGACCATCATTCAACATCATCATTTGAACAAAATACAGAAATCAACCCAATTCCTCATAAGTTTCTACTCACAGAATAGTTGGATGAGGCATTTGAGGCCAGAGACAGCACAGATCCATGAACTGAGAGAAAGAGAGCACAGTGCATTTTTACTTTATAAATTAAGTAAACATGAAACAATGTTTGCAACCAATTACTTGTTTTAATATGGTATATATTAAAATGAAACATAATATTTAACAAGTAAAACATTAGTAGACTTCACTGATGTTTAGAATAATATGCACTGAAGATTCAAGAATGATTCAAACTAGAACCAGGATCATGTATTACAGAAAATAGCCTCGGCTCGATTTCATGATGACTGTAAGTATTCATTAGATGTCTTGTTTGGCCATTGAACAGTGTTGTTATTAACTAAAATGTGTTCTGGTAATTGAAAATAAAGCTGAAATAAAATATAAATATGTGATGAGAAACATAAACTTAAAAAAATGTTGTCTTGGCAAATAATTGAAATAAGTTTCAGTACTAAAACTATAAAAATAAAATTAAATAGAAAATAATAGCTAAATAGAACATTTAAAAATGAATAAGAAGGGCAAAAACACCTAACAAAATTACTAAAAACTAAAATGAAATAATAAAAATATAAACTTCAAAATATTAATTAATAATTACATTGCATTTCAATGTACACATTTACATTCTTATCAGTTCTTGCTTTCCCTGGGAATCAAACCCATGACCTTGGCGTTGCAAGCACCAACGCTCTACTCTTTGAGCTACTGGAAAGCTTTTAATACAAAAAAAAAAAGTTTAATACTAAAACAGTATAAAAATAAAAATAAAATAACACTGATATTGAGCTATCAGTAAAAATGAGATAAAAAAAACAGGTTGGTTTAACTCACTATGCCCGTTAAAAGCAACAGGTAACACTTTTAAGTTACAGTAGATTGACTTTGTATTTATGTTTGCATGCATACGAACAATGTTTATTAGCAAAGTGAAGCATTTATGCACGTCCAATCAAAGTGAGGGACAGGTGCAGAACGTTTCCGGTGGCTCACCATCTTCACTGGGCTCTCTGAAGGATCCGGATCTCATCATGCTCTTCGGTCGGTCGGCCAGAGAGAGAGAGCTGCCCAGAGGAGAGGTCCCGTACAGCTCGTAGCCCATGTCATTCGCTGGGATGCTGTTGGATCGTGTGATTTGGGAACTCGGGATTGGCGCCACTGTGGAGAACGTCACAAGTGATTTATCTCAGTCATGTGATCAGGTCTCACCTGCAAAACGAGAAGGTGTTGTAGACTTCACTTACCCACGTTGGTTGGCGGTGTTTTTCCTAGGAAGGGCTGTGTCACGTGTGTGGGTGAAGGAAGCTGAGGCGGGCTCTCCGAATCCGTCATGCTAGTGATGGTGTGGGAATGGCGGCGTTCCCTTCCTTCGCCATCGGACTGACCGCTGCCATAGCGACTGAGGAAGACAGTGATGTCAGAATCACCTTACATCGCATTGCTGTACTAGTTCATTTTTCGATTAAATAAATGTACCTGAATCCTTTCTTGGGTAAGGTGTTCCTATCAGTTTGTAAACTGGGAGGGGTAGAGAGCAGCACATATAAATACCTCACCCCAAATCAGCACTGTTAGCATTACACTGATATCCAGTCCACAATCTTCATCTGATAGTGTACCTCATCTAGTTTATTCTGCCAGTAGGGGGCGACTGGCTCACACCAGATGACGAGCATTCTTTTAATATTTTATTGTGCTCATTTGAAACATTAAGTGTGTACAGGAGTATAAGTGTACACAATTTATACATATATATATATATATAAATTGAGAAGGTTGAGAATATATATATATTGAGAATATTTATTATATTATATATTATATTAATAATATATACAGTATATATATTATTAAATTATGATAAAATTCTAGATCTATATACATTATATATAATGTACATATATAAAATAAAATAAATAATTTTAATTAACATGATAATATTACCGATTACAAAATATGTTAAAAGAATAATATTAATTCATAATTAAAAAATGGCTAATGGATTAAAAGCCACAATTATTGATTTGATAGGCACTTTAAGTGAGGCCTGCACACCAGCATCCTTAAAAACAATGCTGGTGGCAGTTATGCTGCTCTTTTTAACAGGTTCATTCATTCATTATTCTATATGAAATCACGGTTTTGCTGTACTTTGCTCAGTTAAACCACAGCCATTATACAAGCCTGAACTCACCTGTCGCCTAAAGTGATGGAGGTCCGACTGCCTGCGCCCCACGTCCCAGTACTCCTGGCTTCTTCCCGGTCTCCCAGATCAGTTTTTAAGGGCACGCTCATATGAAGAGGCAGTGACTCCATGCTGCGGTGCAGGCCGGACATCTTCGGGTAGAGGATCGGGGAACTGCTCACAGACAGAGCCTGGCCGGAGAAACAGCTGGGAGAGTCGATGTGGAGCACCGGCGCTGGGCTCGGGGTGAGTCGAGGGGGCAAGCGGGAGCCCGCCAGGTCCTGGAGCTTGGAGTAGGGAGGGATCTTTGGAGGAAGGTCTTGGATGGTGATACAGGAGTCCAGACTGTTGGAGTTGACCTTGTCTAGGAGAGCCAGGCTGGGAGGGTGAACCAGAGACTTCCCACTCAGCAACCTGTTCGAGTAAAAGCACAAATCAGCATCAGTGACGTCATGAACTCAAAGACCTTCTGTAGTCGAGCACCGCATGAAGCCGAGGGATTTCAGTGCATCCAAAGGAACTAAATAAAGAACACGCCGCCAACCATAAAATCCACCTCAAAGGCTCTTTATGTCCTGTTCCAGAAAGGCTTTTAAATAATTGAGGAGCATAACTTGCGTAATATAAACACACAAGGCATCAGCAGAATATTTCCTTCAAAAAAGTTGCCAATTAAAGTTGCTTAATTTACTAAATTAAACACTTATTTGATATATTTTCCCCTATTTTTTATTTTTTAAATGCTGCATCGCTACGTGAGTCACTTCATTTTTTTACCATTTGTTAATTATTATTTGAAAGTATCATGAATTGATTTATATGATTTGTTAAATATTTAAATTACAAAGCCACAGATCAGAATCATTAGCTGTAACTAATTAGAATTTATTAAAAAAATTAACAAATCATAATAATCAACTCATGAAATTTTAAAAATATATTTTTTATTTCAAACGAATGAGGTGCTGTGTAGCACATAGAAAATATATATTTTAAAATATAAATATTTATTTTTATACCTGATGATTTAATTGAATATTATATATAAATAATACAAAATAATATATAAATAATTACATAAAATATATAAATAATTTAGGACAAACGAAATCATCATTAAAGTTTAATAATATTTAATATATAATTCAATAAGCATAGATTTGAAGCACATATATATATATATATGAACATATATAGATATATTAATATTAAATTAATATTAAAATGTGTATATATTTTTTTTTATATATAATGTATATATATGTATATATATATATATATATATATATTTTTTTTTTTTTTTTTAATTATTAAGTAATTTATTTCCATTTTACAGTAAAAAAAAAAAAAAAAAGAATATGTTTTATTTCACCTAATTTTATTTTACAAATGAAATGGTTGCAATGACTGTTATTTGACATGGTGTTTCTGCAGATGATGCCGTACCTCGGCGTGCAGGTCGGAGAGCTCAGTTCAGGGTATTTACTCGAGCTCGTCCTCCGCACTCGATGGATCTTCTCCACAGGCTCTCCACAGCTGTTCTCGGCCTTCAGACAGCTGATCTCCAGGTCCGCTTTGGCCTTGGCCCGTTCCTTCTCCTTCTCACGATCCGTTTGGTTGACGGGTCCTGTAAAGCTCGGGCGACTAGCCGCTTTAAAGCTGCCTCCTTCTTTTCCTCTGGTGGGCATGGTGTTGGGCAAAGCTGGCACGGGTTTAAGAGTGAGGAGGCTGGCATCGATGCTGCCACTAACAGGGCGAGAGGTTAAACTCATAGCACTGGATTTTGCAGGTCGTGGAAGACTTCGATATTGAATGCTACCGCGAGCGTTGGGCGCAAGGAAACCCTGTTCGGAGCCGCTGGCATCAAAGCTGTTTTTGCGCACACCTCCACCTGGGACGGGTTTGATGGGGATGCCCGAGGACTTTGGGGTTTTGCCCACAGTGGCCGAGCCACTGGTGATAGTGGCGCCTCCTGCTGTCAGGACAGTGGCGGTACCGGTGGTCGGGGGTTTCTTGTAACCAAAGGAGCCGCCAGCGGAGGGTTTCACCAGACCCGAGGGAGGCTTGCGGTGCTCGGCGTTCTCCCGGCCGGCATCAGAGCGGGAGCGCTGGAGACCCGTTGCCTTCACTGACATTTTCACCCTTTCAACTGCCTTTGAGTCTCCTTTGGGGACTTTAGAGAAAGAGAGGAAACAGTCACTAAAACTGACAACATCGCATCATATCTCATTTGTACATGTGCATATTTAAACCCTTGAGCATCAACGTTTGGTGTCACACATCTGGACGTGTTTGAAGATACAGAGGGGAATATTAGTGGTGAATGACAAAATTTCACTTCATACAATATTTTCTGCTATTTTTATGTGATTTCAGGGGAATTTTTCTCAATGTACTGTTCAGAGAAATTTCTTTAAAATCATATTATCTAAGACATGAGAACTGGTTCTACTTCATCCATAAAGATAAATCAAATCTACAATATTTGTAACCACAATCTCTATCAAATCTCTTCATCAAGTAATTATAATATCCTTTAAATAGTATTAATTCATATTTGGAATTAGCTTTTATGTTCAGTTTTCCTTTGGTCTTAGTTGTGTCTCAATTTGTTACATGCTTTTGTAATTGTATAGCTTTTTAATATTGCCATTTCGCTTTAATTTAATGTTTTAGTAATTTTAGTAATTATAATACTTAAACAGTTATTTGCCAAGGCAACATTTTAAATTTTAATTTATGTTTTTTTAAGTTGAAGATTTTCATCTAATATTTATATTTTATTCCAGCTATATTTCAGCAAAAATAATATTTTTTAATAGTTTTATTTAACAATAATAACATCATATTTTTAAAACAGAGTTTTAAACACACCAAACCCCAATGAAAGCCAAAACCAGAAACCTGAGATGTTCATACTACATTAATTATCATAAAGAGCAAACCTCTTCCTCTAGGGTGGAAATAATCCATTGCATTCTTTGAAGTATCCTGAAATGTCATGTTAAAACCACATAAATGAATTGGTAATCATTCAGCTCTGTGAAATACATCAAAATACCCTGCTATTACCATCTGATACCATGATACCACGACAGCAGTTTTATGTGGGAAATCACCAAATCAGCCTCATCATCAATAAAGTTTCATTTCCTTTCACACACACACACACACACACACACACACACACACACACACACACACACACACACACACACACACACACACACACACACACACACACACACACACACACACACACACACACACACACACACACACACACACACAGCTGAATCAGTGTTGATGACCAAAACCAGGATGACACACGTCCTCTGTGTGGTCAGAGTCAGAGAAGTGTCTTTGAAAGGTGAGCAGGAAAGCCTTGGGGGTATGACATCAGATGAAGTCATGGAGAGAACCCGATTGAAGCCATGGTTAAGTTTCTGTGGCTTAAATCTACAGTATGTGAGTCATGGATGGAGACGAGGGCAAGCACTGCGTTTAATTAGAGACACTGCAAAGATAAAACAGGTCCGTAGCCAGCCTATTAAAGGGGGGGGGTTCTTTTTTTCAAAAAGTGGACCTTTTTGCAGTTTTTTTTTCTCCTTTTGTATTTAATTATGAGGTTCAAATACTTCATTTTGGTGACCTTTTATGCACTAATTTGTGCTGGATTAGCTTGTCTGCTGGTTAACGATATAAAAATATTTTATTATTATAATTACACTACGTTTATATGGCTATTATATTGTAGTCTATTGAGTGGATAAAATATAGAAATCCTTTTAATTAAAAAATAAATAAATAAACACACACACACACACACACATATATATATATATATATATATATATATATAACTCCTCCCCCAGGTGAGAGGGATATTACCCCTCTAGGGGGGTCCGGGGGCATGCTCCCCCGTGAGAAAATTTTAAATATTACATATTTTAAAGCATCAATCTGATGCATTTTGAGATGCATTTTTTGCCATCTATCTATACAATAGTTTATTGAGCCTTTTCTTTTAACAGTTTTAAATTTCAGTTACAGTGCGCGTGAAGAATGATAGTGCTCTCCTGTGTTCTAACAGACACACGGTAGAAAGGAACATGGTTAAGATACAGCAATACAGTCCAGCAATATAGTCATTTTATGCGAAACCATAGAGCTTTATCTACAGATCAAGTACAATAATAGTAACAGTGAATCATCTTGGAGAGAGTTTCATCATGTTGACTGTCGTACCCGAACGCGACGCGCTGTTTGAACGCTGAATGGAGAATGACTGACAGCCGCAGCGGAGGGAAACGTTTACGTGAACTTGAATTTAACGACTTAATGATTTTGATTGTTTTTGTCGATTGATTTCATAAATCAGATGTATTACTTGTCCTAAACTACAACGAGTAAGATCATTCCCCGGAATCGATTCCAACCATTGCATTTTGAACCTTTGGAATCGACTCTCAATTCCCAACGCCTCGGAATCGATTCTTTTTGGACTCGATCCCCAGCCCTATCATTCAGATGCGATGCTTCTTCACCGTTGCTTTGAAAAGTGTATTGCGAGAACGCTCTCTGAACTGCGCGCGCGCACACACACACACACACACACACACACACACGTCCAGCTACAATAATCATATTAATTTGAAACAGCAACACAGAATATTTGTCACAAGCATTGATTAAAACAATGATGACAATAATCACATAAAAAAAAAAAAAAAAAGGCAGTGAGGGGGGTTCGTTCGAACCACCCGAACCCCCCCTGCCTACGGGCTTGTAAAGAGCGTCTCAGCCCACACAAGATATAAACTCAGCGGAGGTGTCAGATGAGACCAACACGAACCACATCTGAATATTACAATGAAAAATAGTGACCAAGAATATGTGAACTTGCTAATGAGGTTTAATTGACTAAATATTACTGATAGAGGAGATTCTCTGACTGTACTAATACTAACGACACTTTAAAAGCACATTTGTTGGGTTTGAAATGATAAAATAATTGATTTACTTTTCAAGATGAGCACTTTCTGGCTCCCAAACTACATGCTAACATACATGCTAGTCATTTTTTTAAAGACTCTTTAGCTAACCAAGCTTTTTTTTATTTAAACAAAAATACAGGGAAAACAGTAAAATTGTGAAATATTATTACAATCTAAAAGAAGAGTTTTCTATTTGAATATATTGTAAAATGTTGTTTACGCCTGTGATCAAAGCTGAATTTTTGAGACTTGTTACTCCAGTCTTCTGTCACATGATCCTTCAGAAATCATTTTAATATGCTGATTTTCTGCTCAAGAAACATTTCTGATTATTATCAATGTTGAAAACAGCTTCATATAAATATATATTACAGTGTAATTTTACTTCAAAGTGGCTTCACACTAGAACGGTACATGTATTCGTATTGAACCGAAACGGTACGGGCGTCACGGTTCGGTGCACGAATTTGCACGGAGAATACACGGTAAAAAAAAAAAAAAAACTCTTAAATAGCGATAAATTTCGCTCTATTCGCTTTTGGTGTGACTGTGAACGCAGCAATGAACAGGCTGCGATCAAGATTGCTGGAGTGTGTGTGTGTGTGCGCGCGCGAGAGAGAG